GCTGTTGTCCAAGTGCAGCCTTGTGACCCAGCATGGATGGGGTCTCCAGCACAGGAGATGATCCTCTTCGTTGTGCTCCACATGGCCCCTGTTGGTGTGTTGGGCTCAAACCAGTGGTTTTTTTAAAGAGAGGCTTATGTGGGAAGGTGCACTGCTCTCCTGTTATCCTTGTTTAAAATCATGTTTATGTTTTACATGAGGTATTTCCCATGGGTCTTGCTTTTTATCCCAGCATAGTGAGCTGTGATGCTTTGGGCTGGAGCTGCTGCTGAGTGTGCTCGAGTGTTGCATCCACAGGAACCACAGGAGAGAGCAGCTCACTCCAACCTGCCAGTGCTGCTGTTCCACAGGAGGTCAGAGGAGCCTGAGGAGCATCACAGTGCCTGCCCTGGGTGAATATCTGCTGTGTGTGTGCCAGAGAGCACCGGATGCCTTTGACAGTGCTGCACGGTTTCTCCTGCAGAAATGGATTGATTTTGTTGCTGGACTGGCAGCATTTCTTTGTACTTCGGTATTGGCTTCCCCTGTGGAGGATTTTGTGGTTTCTAAGACTCTAATTACTTTAGTGTAATAGTTTTTCCTCTGCTTTCATAATGACTTTGGTGGGTGCCATCTGCTGTTGTGACAGCACTGGGCAGCTCAGTCTGAACCCGGGATGTTAGGAGGTGTGTGCTTCAACCAAGCTCTTCAGGAAAACTACTTTGAAATCTGATTTTCAGCATTTAATGCTTTAACTCCAGCCCCACTGGGCCAAAAGGCAAAAAGTATTTGGGATGGCTCCCTCCTTACTCCATAGGTCTGTTTGCAGGGACAGGAGCATGCCTGGCCCTGCTGGGCAAGCCTACACAGTTCAGGATGGATGGAGGAGTTTGTTTCCTTGATAGCAGGCAGGACACAGGCCATGTCCTTCTGTGAGCAACTTCTTTGCTAACAAATAGCTTGACCTGCATCTTTTGGCTTCTCTTTAGAGAGATTGCTGTGGTTCCTGTTGTGGCCTGTGACAGACTGGGTGGTGTGCTGGGTGTGTGACACTGAGCTGCAGGTGATGGAGGGCTGCTGTGTGCTGAGACAGGGAATCGGCACACCTTGGGTAAGGAGAGCTCTAGAGGAGAAGTGTCTGCCTGTGGATGCTGCAGAACCCATGTGGGTGACAGTGCACAACTTTCCTGGAGCTTCTTGGGTTATGACCTGTGTGTCACTGGTTTGTAGGATACAGATCACAGCACCAGCCTGCATGACACATTTTTTTTCCAATATTATTAAATTCACAAGACTGGAAGGGCTGTAGTGAGTTTTAAGGATTTTTTTTGAATCTGTGGTGGGCAGTGCTGTATGGGTTTTGGAACCTCTCATGTGAGGATGTGGGATCCTTTTCAGTCCTTATCCTTTAGTTGTCATTGAGTCCCATGAGGATGATGGCCAGGACTTTGTCTTGCTGGTGTCAAAGCTAGAGAAAAAGTGTTATTCAAAGCCCCAGCTTTTAAGAAGGACATCTTTAGAAACACAGTCCTAGTTCTTCCAGGACCATGTTGCAAAATAAAAAAGGACTAAAAATACTGTGTGATCAGAAGGCCTGAGTTCAGTGTTCCCAAAGCCACAGCACTGTGGAAGGTTCTTAGAGGGAATCGTATTTCCTGTTACAGCTGCTGCGGGGAGTGAGTTGAGAGGGAAGTTGATGTGAATGCTCATAGCACTGCTTTAACCCACTGATGCTGCTGAGTTTTGACAGGATTGCTGCAGTGATCAGCAGCAAGAGAGGTAAATTTGAGAGGTCAGCAGAGCCATACACCCAGTGGATGTATGGACTCCATGGGGTCCTGCCTGGTCTTGTGGGGAAGATGAGCCTTGGGGACACCTGACCCCAGACTTTCAAATAGATGTCCTGTTATTTCACATCAATTTGCAAAGCTTGGCAAACTTTCAGAAGTACATTGTGCTGTCCTGCATTAAGACCAGTGTTTCAGATGATTAACCAAATTCAATTAAGCATTTAATGAACATGAGACTAACTGAGAGTAAATGAGTTCCTTTTCTCTGTCTACCTGTTGGGTTTTTCAGAGTCCTGTTTTTCAGATGGGTTTTTTATTTTCCTATTAAATTCCCGTGCAGCTCAGGTCTTGGATGCAGGAGGAAGAAGTGCTCTATGTGTAGTGTGGCCAGCAGCATTTGCCACCCTGTTCCCAAATCCCCCACAGCTGAGGGAGCAGGCAGCAGTCCCTGGATGCTCTGGCACTGAGCATGGGCTCTCTGCCGACGGACCTTTGTCTTTCTCACTGGTAATCTGAGGCGTGTGAGGTTCTTTTCAGGACTGTGCCAGCAGTGAAGCAAAATTTTCAGAGAGCAACTAAAGGGAACTTTGTTTCAGGTATCTAAGCTAATCTGTGCTGGATTTCTGTAGCATGGAAAAAAGAAATTATGGATGCAAAACTGTCTGAGGCAGGAGTTTCCCCAGCCAAGAGTAGAAGCTTCTTTGTGGAAGGTGAGGGTTGGTCTCTTCTCCCAGGTAACAAACAATAGGACAAGAGGAAACAGACTGAAGGTGTACCAGGGGATGTTTAGATCTGATATTAGGAAAAATTTCTACATTGAAAGGGCGGTCAAGCATTGGAACAGGCTTCCCAGGGAAGTGGTGGAACCACCATATCTGGAAGTGTTAAAAACATGTGTAGATGTGGCACTTGGGGACATGATTTAGTGGTGGACCTGGTAGGACTGGGTTAGTGGTTGGACTTGGTGACCTTAGAGGTCTTTCCCAACCTTAATGATTCTGTGACAGCCAGCAGCAGGACAGAGCAGGTGCTCAGTGAATGGCTGTGCAGAAATTGCTCTGCCTGGAGGTTCACACAGGACCCAGGCATCCTTTACATGAGTAAAACTGGCCTTAATTGTACATAGGCTCTGTGCTGTCCCCTGTCAGAGAGATGCTTGGATGTCACTCTGCTGCTGGGATGCAGTGCTGGGAAACACAGCTTGAAAGGTACCTGCCTTGCATTTCTGAAGTGCTGTGGGGAAAAGCTTTCATTTTGATTTTGCTTTTTGGAATTATTAAAAGCACCAGTCATGCACCTGGGACAGAGGAATAGCCTCTGCTCAGTGGGGCTGGTCCTTTGGGTGAGAGAAGCTACAGGTGGCCTTTGCTGCTCCAGCCTAAAGGACTGTTCAGGTTTGGTGGAGATCCTGGATTTTTATTCTCTTCGTAGTACTTACCAGATATGGCAAAAATGGAAAGAATTTTTTTTTCTACAATTCTTTGGTTTTTTTTGTTTGTTTGGGTTCTTTTTGTTGTTGTTGTTGTTTAAAGGTGCTGGTATATGAGAAGATATCATTGTACAAAGATTTTCTGCAACATTTCAGAAAAAGATTAAAACAAGCTTAAAATATGACTGTCCCTAAATAGCTCCTGCCTGGGGCCATTACCCTCTCATGTGACAGCTGCCTCCCCAAAGTCCCAGCACCAACTTTGCTTCAACACAGGAGATGCTCAGTTGTCATTAAAGCAAAACCCTGGATCACATTTGCTGCAAAGACCTTGAAGACATTCATTACTGCATCCCAGAGCCTGAGGAGCCAAAGGCACAGGACAGAAACCTCTGGCTAGAAATGGTTTTGGAAGAGCAACCTTGATTTCTTGGCTTATCTCATGTCACAGAAAATATTGAGTTGTTTGTACTCTTGGTGGTGTGGCTGTTTACTCAGTGGTGTTAGATGATGCTGAGCCTTTTGTCCTCATTTTAGGCTCATTTTCTTAGGCTGCAGGTTGTGCTGAATCAGCAAGAGACCTTGTATTGGTCTTGTCTTTTGCTCTGGTCTATGTGAACAGTTCATCCCAGCAAAGCCATTCAACTGGCAGGTAAAGTTTGCTGCCCATAGGGAAGCATCCAGTGTTCCTCCTACGAGGGTGGAGAGTCCACACATGCCATTCTGCAAGGATGTCATCTCCAGAGGCACGTGGCATCACGCGCTGCTGGGAGGGGTTCATAAACACTGTCTGTGGCAGGGTCAGGCATCAGGATTTTGGTCAAGATTCAAAACAAGGCAGAGCTGATGTGTCAGAATTTGCTTCCTGTTTTCTTGTGACCATTCCTGTACAGAGTCATGGTTTGGCTTTTGGTGTGATGTTTGATTTTTCACAGTGCAATGCTGAGGGCCTGACTCTTGCTCATGAAATCTGAAGTCAGTCAGGGCAGCTGAGATGGCACTTGCCTACTTCAGAAGTTGTGTTTTTCTTATTTTTTTAAGTTTCATTTTTTGGACTTGTAACACATACAAAATGAGTGTAGTAATGAATGTAATGGAGCTCTCCTAGTAGATTTACTTTCGACTCCTGAGATTTTGGAGAAGTTCCTTTTGCTTCCCAGAAATGTGAGTGAGAACAAAACTAGGCTCCAGATTTTTCCAGCCTTTGGCTGTGTCTGAGGTGTGATTTATGGAGAGGGCTTTCCTGTCTTTCCAGAGGGATGCTGTTCTTCCTTCCATGGGGTGAGATTCCTGCTCTGGCAGTCGTAGCAGCAGGCCTGCTCTCATCCCGCCTGCGGCACATTTCCAGAGAGAGCACAACTCTCATCCCCTCCTCAAGCACAACCAGCTCTGAGCTGAGCAGAGCCAGCATAGGAGCCCATATTTCTTCTGAGCTGCACAGATGAGCTACTCAAACATAAAGATGCTGGATCTCGTAGCTATTAAAGCTGTGGACTGTCCAGGAGGATTTCTTGCTCCATTAAGAAATTAGAGACTGTGCTGAGAGGAGAGCAGCACAGTGCTTTGTTTCTTCCCATAGCTTATTACCAGACACAAATAACTTAACCCATCATTTCCCTCCTGCAAAACACTCTCGCAGGTGGTTACCTGCAGCACAGGAGTGTCAGAGTGCTGAGGTAACAGACAGTCCAGCGGTCACACAATCTGAAATCATCAGGCTAATTAAGCACAAGATGTTTGTTACTGGTTATTTTGGATATTATATATACGTAATTTTTTTTCATCTTCTATTTTTCCTGCAGGAAAAAACCAAAGTGGTGGAACCCTTGGACTATGAGAACGTGATCCTTCAACGCAGAGTTCAGATCTACAGCGATCCCCTCCGGGACCTGCTGATATTCCCGATCGAAGATGTATCTGTGAGTTTGCACTGGCTGTTCCCCGTGTTTGAGGTTCACTTGTCTCCGGTCCTGTGTACCTTGGAAAACTTCCACCATTAACCACATGTTAATTTTGGCTGCAGTAGTGACACATAAAACCGAAATGACCCACTGGTGATTTAGGCCCACCACATTCATTTAAAGCAAGTGTCAAGCCCTGAAGAAGCAGTTTGCACTGACAACGTCTTTCCCTTTTTTGTGCAGATCTCAGTCATCGGCCGACAGAGAAGGACTGTCCAGTCGACAGTGCCAGAAGATGCTCTAAAAAAAGCTCAGAGTCTCTTTGTCAAAGAGGTAGGGGCAAAGTCCACGTGACACCTGCCTTCAGCACTTTGTCCCTTGGGCAGGATGCTCAACTGTAGCTCCTGATCTGCAGGGTTGCAGATCACTTGGTTTTTCCTTTGTGGGAAGCACTGATTGCTGGCAGGCTGGCTGCATGGGAGGGTTCTCATGTGCATCTCTTGTGCAGTGCATCTTTCCAGTGGGTTTTGTTCACAGACAAGGTGTGTGGCTTTGCACCACCTGCCTGAGCTGCAAGGTGCAGGAGTGCAGCTGGGCAAGGGGGTATACACAACCTCCCTGGAGCATCCAGAGTGCTGCAGGTTTGTTCTGTAAAGTGCTGCTCTCTAGGACTGCTCCTTCCAAGTGCAGTGGAACTAAATGTGAAGTGATGCCTACATTTCCGAGGGCAGAAAATTGGTGCTTTCTGGAAAAAAGTCTCTTCCCAAATCGCTACTCCTTTTTTAGAGCCTTGGAGCGACGTAAATACAAAATCTGTAGCTGTGTGGCAGGCCAGATGCTGTGTGATTTTTGTCTTTGTGCTGTAAAGGTTCCTTATGAAATTCTGTGTTGCAACATAAAACAAGTGAAGCAGTCTTGTTCAGACCCTTTCCACTTGTGCTTCCCTCACCCAGTGTGTAGCCCTTCTGACTTGTGCCTGGTTTTGTTTTGCCTAGTGTAGCTTTCAAAGAGCTGTATTGTTTTCTTTTCAGTGCATTAAAACCTACAGCTCTGACTGGCACGTGGTAAACTACAAGTATGAGGAATACTCAGGAGACTTTCGGATGTTGCCATGGTAAGTGTCGTGCTCCCTTGGAATACTAATGTGTGGTCATAGGGCTGGGGTTTGATAGGGTTTAGCAGAAGCAGTCTGCCCTTTTCCTGATGCCTGTCCCACAAGCAGCCTCTGCTCCAGAGGTATGTCACTCTGAAGGTTAGAGAGCCAGAGGTGGTTTGTGTTATCGTGCCATTGTCACTCAGCTCTGTCAGGGAGATGCCCACAGTATTGTCAGTGTGGGTCATTGCTTCACATCCCATCCACCAGTGTATAAACACCCCCTCCACTTGGGATGAGGGTGGACTGCAGTCCAGATTCATGGCAGGGTAAATAGTGTTGGCAGCGTCTGCTCAGACCGAATGAGGAGCCTCATTGTCCCGCTGGGCTAATGTTCCCTGTGAGCTACACACGGTGTTCCCATGCTGAGCAGATTTTCCTTGTACTCTCAGTACAGAGAAGTTGCTGGACAACTTCAGTCCAGTGATGTGGTATTGCTGCTAATGCTGGCAGTGCTGGGAAGCTGTGTGCTTGGAAATGCTGGGCTGTGCCAGTGATTCCAGCTCCAGAGCTAATTGGGTTTCTCAGACAGGCACATACATCTTCAATTTCTGCTGGATTCTTATTTTCTCCGTGGTGGCGCCTGCCCTGCTCTCACTGCCCATACTTGGGGCATGTCTGGACCCCTGTCCAGGCTGCTCCTATGCTGGCAGCTTGTTAAATGCTTTTTCTTCCTAATTGGCTGAAGTGGGTCTGTTCTGGTGGTCTCACGGGGATGTGAAGCAGCAATGGGGGTAACACAGTCAATCAAATCGTGTTAAGATTTGTGAATAATCTGCAGTCTGATCTTGCTTCTTTTTTAGCAAGATGGAAGATAAACTGGGCCTGCTGTATCTCTTTGTTGCATAAATGCAAGTCAGCAAAACGTTTGCAGGATCAGACAACTAACAAGAGAAAGCTAATTACAGACTGCTTGTGCTTAATTTCCATGAAATGCACTCAGATGTTAGCTTTCCCCAGCTGTAAGGGGCTGTAGTTCTCTTGAAATCTGTCTTCTGTGCTCTATAGTCTGCAGTGTGTCTGTTGCTTCTGGATCCAGCATCAGCTGCTGGTTCAGAGGACCCTTGTGTTCCAGTCATTAAACATGAAAATGTGTTGTGATTTCAGCAAATCCTTCAGGCCAGACAAGATTCCAAACCACGTCTTTGAAATTGATGAAGACTTCGAAAAGGATGAGGTATGGAGAAGTTTGGGATTTTTTTTACATATACCACCCTAAGATCTGTTAAAAAGATTTCACAAGGCAAAGGCAGGTTTCAGTTCCTAGGAATGGTTTTCTGGTGAGATGCTTTGTGCTGTGAAGATGGGATCAAAAGTGAGACAATAGTTTATTTCAAAGTATGACAATATAACTTCTTGAAGCCAAGGGTCTCCTAAATTATCTGGAGGATTAGCCATATTTCTCATGCTTTTTCACTTGAAACAGAGCATCAGTAGAAGAGAAAAAAAGGAAGCCAAGCACTGCAGTGTGTCATCCTCTTCATCAGAAGAGGACCCTCATTCAGAGGGGTCCTCTTCTGAAAAGTTTTGGGCTTTTCCACATGACATTGCCATTCTTAATCAGTCACTTCTCCCCAACATTTTCACATGTGTCAGTCCTCTGTACAGGCATTTTCTTCCTCTAGAAGTTGACATGTTTGTGCTCAGTTGGTTGCAGGGACGATTTGCAGCCCTGGAGCTCCTCCATGGGAATGATCTGAGGGCTCTGACAATTGGGACATCTCAGACCTGCTGGTTATTTTGGATGGTGCAGTGTCATGTTTGCTACAGAAATGAGGGACATAGACAGACATTTTTCTGTCTCACGTACCATGTGGAGCTTAATCCATAATTGTGACATTAAGAAGTTTTTGTTTACAGAGGGAAGGGTTTAGCCCAGATGTTTAAAGTTCACATGGCATGAAGATGCTGCTGCTGAGATTCTTACAGAGGAAAAAGGACATTTCTTTGTTACAGAGCTGAAGATTTGGAGGAGCTGTTTCATGCACATTTCTCACAATCACTGTGTATGTCTCAGCACACCTCAGGTCTGGACTAGGATGGCTTCTTTATAAATGGAAATGTTTTCTCAAGTTTGGCCTTAATCTTTTTTTGGCTGTGTTGTTGGTTTGCTTTACATCATTAACTTGAGGTGTTCCCTCTTTAATAATATCTAATCTGGGCTGGAGACATTGCTGTGCACTATGTTATCAGCATGCTTCTGAGAAAGCAAAAGGACAAGAATATGCTATCAAAATTTGGAGACCTTTTTTCTTCTGGCCAGTGTCCCAAATACTCAAACAAGAGAAGTTACTGAGGTTTGTTGTAGAAGAGTATTCCAAGTGCTTTGGCAGATGTTTGGATGTTTATATCTTTTGGCATGGTCATATCTAAAGGATTCTGTTACAGTTTCCTAACAGAGCATTTGCATTAGAATTGTGTAATGGAAATTTAAACAAAAGAAATCTCTTGGTGAAAAAAGGTGAAGCATTATAAAGGAGAAAGCATGGGTTGTTTTACCCAGGGAAATAAAGTATCAGAGAATTTACTTTGGAAGTTCGATGTGAAAAGAGTGAAAACCTTCCCCTTGGGGTGCAGCAGGCGATATAAACCAGTCCCTTCATGGCTCATCCTCAGACAGGCCAGGGCTGCTGCCTCTGCTGCTGATTCAGTGGAAATCCCAGGGCAAGTTTTTTTCATCACTCTGTGCTCTTATTTCCCTCCCCAGTGGAGGTCACAGTTAGGTACACATGGAGAGCCGTTCTCCCTTTCTTGGACCAAGGGACAGGAGCAGATGGAAACTCCATCTGGATGTGCCACGAGCAACCTGGTTGGGTCACTTGAAACTTTTTGTTTTGATAAATGTGAAACCAGCCAGTTCATTTCGGTTATTGGGGTTTGATGATTTTTGCCTAAATTTAAAATGGAGGAATGGCAAACAAAAATGACAAAATAAGTCCTGAGTTCTGCATTTTGCAACTTCCTAAACAGGCCTTTCTGAAAATGTCCTTCTTCCCTAGGTTTTTGAAATACTGCATAAGAACCAACATGCATTTCCTTATTGCAAAATTGCTGTGCCTATCAGCATAAATGTAATCTTTCTTTTTTAAAGGTGACCCAAACTAACCTGTTTTGCCTCTTTATTGGAAAGAGATATCCCTGAATTTTTTTTGTGATAACACTGTCTATGTAGCTGTACCTGTTACACATACATTCTTCATTTCACTGTATTGCTGTAGTTGAAATGGTGTTGCTTTTCAGGGTGGACAAATCCCTGTGCCCAGGGGGAATTTTCTGTGAGACAGAGTTCACCTGACCTCCTGTTTTTCTAATATTTTCCTGTCTTTCAGGATTCCTCATCCCTGTGCTCTCAGAAGGGCGGTGTGATAAAGCAGGGCTGGCTGCACAAAGCAAATGTAAATAGCACCATCACTGTTACCATGAAGGTGAGTTTGATTCAGTTACTTGTGAACAAGGCATGAGGTGAAATTCAGACCACATCTCTGAAGCTCACAGGAGCTCAGTGAGTGGGTTTGGTTTTGGATGTGCATCCGTACCTCTTGTAGAGTATCCCATGGTGGACTGGAAAACCCAGTCTGGCAACAGTCTTTGACCCTTCCCTGTCCAGAATGTAAGACTGATGCACTTCAGATCATGATGGGCAAGCTGAGCAAAAAGGTGAAGTGTGTTCTGGTAAAGCAGGATTGTTTTCTGAGTGAGCAGCTGAGGCCCAGGAGAGGAAGGCAACTTGAATAACTGAAACAGCTGCTCTGAAAAGGCAGCTTTCTGAATTGATGGTTTCCTTGCTGGTAGGAAATATGCAGGGAGGCCAGCTTTAAACTGAAATGACAGATCTTTGCTTTAAAAGCAGGGGTGATATCACTGCAGAGACAGAGCATTGCTGACCTAGAAGCAACAGCTGCCTTGTCTCCTGTTCTCTACTCTGCGTAATCCGGCGTGACATTGCTTAGATTGTGCAGAGATTTTTAATAGTTCCACTGTAGGTTTTTGCTGTGGCAATGAGCCCATGTGCTGTCCCACCATGCAGCTGCCTTGTTACAGCATAGAGAGAGTGTTAGGGAGTTATGCTCAATGGTGCAGCTGAAGGATGGCTGCAGTGAGGCTGCTTTGCAAAGGTATATTAAAAAAATCTCAAATATCCTGGCTGTTCCAAGTCTCAATTCAATGAGTTATGCTTTCAGGAGAAGCAGAACAGGACTGTTCATAGGGCTAATTTTAATTTGAGTTTTGAAATGGGCTTGAAGGCGATAGACAGAATAGGATTTTCTGATCCTCTGCTTTTCCAAGCAAGGTTGAAGCAATTCTTTTTGCCTGTAACTTCTGGAGGAGGTATGATGCATGCTCAAAGCAGTCAGTTGGGTCTGTTCTGGTCTGAGCCTCTTGTGGTAATTGGTCTCAGCACCCAGCACCTCAGACCCACCTTTCTGAGAAGTCATTTGAACTACACTGGCTTCAGTTCCATTAATATGATCCAGAGCCTCCAGTGAAACTCTGATATCACAGCACTGAAAATCAGTACTCATTCTCTGAGCTGGTCCTGGTCGCTTCTGTGTCTTACAAAACACCTCCCAAGGCACATATATGAAAGCTGAGGACTTTGAACACCTTTGGCCTTATCACCACTTGGAGAGGCTGCTGTGCTGTGTTAATTGTGAGTGCTGGTTCTTTCATTGCTGTGCTGTGCTGAGCTGCTGGTACCTCACACTGTTGCTAAGCATGAGCAGAGTGTTTTGTGGAGAGCCAGCCCATGAGCAAACTGTCATTAGGCGACAGCTGCCAACCTTTATTTCAGAGCAACCTTTCCTTTACAGAGAAGTGCCCTGGTTTTGCCCAGCTCTCCCTGTCTGGTTTGCAGCCTGTGTTGTGCTGCACTACAACCACAGTGTCCAGATTGCACTTCTGTCCTTCTCTGCCCAAATGGACTTGCCCAGTTCTTGACATCCCTCTGCACTCACAGTGCTCAACAGCAGCACCTGTAGCCTGATCAGAGGGGATGTTCTCTCTGCTCCTAGGTTTATAATATTAATTTCAAATAATCATTGTCTTCTGACAATGATTTCTGACAGCAGTGCTTACAAGGGGGGAAGATCATAGGAATAGTGTTTGCTGTTTGATTCTGCATTTACTTTTGAACAGAAATCATCAGATGCAAATGGTTTAGCTTGAAATCCCATGCCCACGAGGGATATCAACCCTGTAATATCTAGAGAGAGATCTGTCATGGGTTTCTGTAGCATCCACTGCCAAAATTCCTGAGACTGATTCAGTGAAGTGCTAAATCAGTGTTTAAGCTGGCTTAATGCTTTGCATCCTTAGCTTTCCATGTATTTTTATGGTCTGTTGAACTGAAGGTTTAGTTAGATCTTATAAAACTTAAAGCTCAACAACCTTGGAGCATCTCTACAGCTAATTAGTCGTCCAAAGGATGCCAGAGGTTACTTCTCAGAAGGGTTAGGTTATGGTTCAGAGCACGATGCTTCCTCCCAGTTCTGTGCACTTGAGTGGGTTTACTGAACACGTGCTAGTGTCCATAATGATGGGAGCAGGAAATTACTTGTAATCTCCCATGTGGGATGAAAAATGCTGTGTTTATTTGTAGGTCTTCCAGATACACAGAACAGTAGAAATACTTGCAGTGCTGCTTGCCCCAGCTTCCTTTGTGATTCTCCTAACACAGATACCCAGCAACTGTGAAATGCACCCTGGTCCTTACAGACCTGACAGCATATGGTGCTACCCCAGTTGCTGCCAAAATGTGCTCTTGAGTTATAGTCCAGTGTCTTTTGGCTGACAAGCGTGAAGGAAGATGTTCTGAGATACTGGAGAGCTTCTTTTTCTTTGTAAAAATCAGGAGTTCAAACAAAGGAACACTTCTCCCAAAGTTATTGCTTTTTGGTGTGGGAATTGAACACTAAGCCAAAAACAGTTCTTGAAAATAGATTTGTATAAGAAAAACAAACCCAAAGTCACAAAAAACCAAGCAGTTTATTGGATTGCAGCATCCCTTGGCTTGCATTCGAGTGCTAGGAATTTCCACATGTCTGTTCCAAAGTCTTACAGACAATTCCTTTGTAATTCTAGCTGAGGCCTATATTAAAAAGGCTCTGGAAATACCTGCTCTGAGGTGGAATGAATCTTCAAGCCATGTGGTGATCTGAATTTACTGTGTAGCATTACTTTGTAAAGATAAATGAGACTGGAGCCAGCTGAGAGACGAGCTGGAAGCCCTGGGGGTTTGCTTTAGTTGGGCAAACTTGTAATAACAACAAGGACATTAAAATTAAAGAAGATGATGGAAATCTCTCTTTATAAAAGCAAATCATAGTGAAATAGATGAATCTGCAACACTATAGAGTCAGCAGTGTTTCTTGTTACAGTATTTTCTCAGTAGCAGGGAGGACAGATACGGAAACCAGGGCCATGGTTTGTGATCTACAATAGAGTGAATACTTGCCTCAGCAAGACTTTGTACTTTTGCAGGTATTCAAGAGGAGGTATTTTTACTTGTCACAACTCACAGATGGCTCCTATATTCTGAATTCCTATAAAGATGAGAAAATTTCAAAGGAATCCAAAGGCTGCATTTTCTTGGACGCTTGCAATGACGTTGTTCAGGTAGGTGTGCTTTCTGTGTGGTTGCACATGTGTTGCTGGCTCTGAGATTCATGTGCTCTCTCAAGGTCTGAAGGCGTGGATTTGCAAACTAATCCAGAGCTGGTCAGCTAAACTGATCAACAGGCAGACAAGGCATTTCACAAAGGTGCCATACTTTTGACAAGGAAGAGCTGCTGAAGAGTAAAATGCAAGCATTTCATCATTACCTCATCTGTTGCCTCCCTGTTTTGTCCATCTCTTTTACCTGTTATTGTAGGTCAGGTGCCTTTCAAGACCTTGAAGGTTGAAGCCAGTTAGTAATTGGTGTGACTTTGTCTTGGGCACCTTCCTCCTCTGTTTGCACCAGCTTCTTGTTTCTTAAGTCACATCCTGATAAGTCCATGCAAACATGCAGTTCTGTGGGACTTAGAACCTGCTCAAGGCTTGTAAGGTTTTAGGAGCAGGGATTTGTACAAATCTAAAACCTGGGTTTGCTTAGTTGTGTGAGGGTGAGGGGCAGCAGTGGGTTCCTGCTGTACCTTCTGCCCTTGCTGTCTCTGCAGAAGCTTCAAGCACTGAGTGTGGTGGAGCTGGTGCAGGGCAGCTTAAATCACCCCAGTGGTTTGCTTTAGCATGGATGAGTCAGAGCTGTGAGTTCCCATTTATCTTTCTGAACACAGTAAAAGCAGTAATGCACACGCCTCAGTGATGTACGGGATGTAATTCCCAAGTTGCATCAGATTTGCTTTGGCTTCTGGTTCGAAAATGCTGTTTAAAGGCCAGCACAGCTCCGAAATGTTGCATTGGACCGCTTGCTTTTAAGATAGATGCCTCTAAGTGTCCTGGAGCGCAGCATTACTTATTGTGTCAGACAAATGCAGTTAGTGGCTTCTCTGGCTAAATGCTAAAGGTCTGAGGACATCAGAAGGAGCTTGCTGCTGCTCCTGGTGCAGTGTCTGTGATTCAATCTGGCTTTCACTCTCAGAGTAGCTGACAGCCATGAACCTGTGCACTGCTTGGTCACAGCTGGGAAGCCCTTGGTGATTGCTGCAGGATTACTGTGTCAGGGGGGGTGCTGCATTGGATTTTGTGGTATTTCAGCTCAGGATGCTTTCCCAAAGAGGAGCTATGGGGCAAGTACTGTGCTGAGTTGTTGAGGAAAATGTAATACAAGTCTCTCTGTTTGCTCAGTGTCCCAAGATGCGCCGTTATGCATTTGAACTGAAGACAATAGACAAATACAGCCACTACCTTGCAGCTGAAACTGAGCAGGAGATGGAAGAGTGGCTGGTGACCCTGAGAAAGATCATTCAGAGCAATACTGAGAGTTTGGTGCAAGAGAAGAAAGATACTGTGGAATCTGTGCAAGGTCAGTTTGTAAATAAATGCCTACCTTCTCCCTTCTCCAGCAGGATGCAAGCAGTGTGCCTGGAGAAGTGTGTGCTGTATAAATAGCAAGAATTGTGGCTGACACATAATATCATGCAAAGGGGCTTATTACAACACAGACAATAGTCTGAGGAATAAAAGTGGAGGGAAATGTGACCCTTCTTCTGGAAGGGAAATCCATGGCAAAGTTTCAAGGCTCCTGGAAAATTGGCTCTGTGCTGAAGTTTTGCTTTGGAAAGACCTAGCAGACTGTAATAGTACACTTTGATACTAGTAATGTATGGAAAAATCTTACTCCCAAGGAATGGAAAAATCTCCGTAAACTGTTTTTGTGCTATTGTTAGCAAATACTGCAGGATGCTTTCTGGCAGAGCGGTGCTGCTGCAGTTGTTTTGAACATCTGTTTCTCGTGTCCTTGCAGATGATGAATCAAGCACGCAGGGTAAATCAGAGAACATCCTGGAGAGCCTGGAGAGAAGCATGCATCCAGAGCTGATGAAGGTACCGTGTTTGCAGAGGTCACTCTCCCCACCCATAACTAATTCTGTCCACCTTGTCTTTGAAAGGGGTTTTCTGCTTTCTGTATCCTCAGCTCTGGGGGAGCTGGGCAGGCACCAAGTGCTGGTGGGGTCTGTTATCCCACCTGCCTGTCTCATGGATGGTTTGAGGCCTCATGTTCATCACCTCCAGGTGTGGTGGGTTGTGGTTCTTCCCTTGAGGAAGAACCAGATTTAGGGCAAATGAAGTGATCAGCACTGCTCATTTGGGCTCATGGAGGGTGACCATCCTGGCTGTGGGAGCAGGGGGGGAGTTAGGCAGCAACTGCCTCCTGTTTATGATCCAGAGTGTGGTTTAGTTGCCTGCTTCTGCCTGCCTTCTCATTTGGCACAGCCACGTCACTGTACTGTCATTGCACTGTGTTGGTGGCTGCAGCCAAGATGCTTTACATCATCTCACATATCACAAAGGGAACCTGAAAAATAATTATTTTGTTTTGATTCCTTTCTTTCCCAATAACAAATGTTTGCCTCTGTGTGGCCAGGCAGTAATGTCAATGCCTTCCTTTGTCCTAGTATGGAAGAGAAACAGATCAGCTGAACAAACTCAGCAGAAATGATGGAAGACAAAACATCTTTTCTTTTGACCCAGAAGTCCAGGTAAACATCCCTATATTTGCCAGTGTGAGGTTTTGTTCTCTGTGTCGTGCCTCCCTTGTTCCCTTGCGTGGCCACAGTATTTGCCTGCAGGGGAGGATGTTTTTCAGTGGACTGGAGAACAGAAGTGCAGCCCATACCCTGCCAGTGAGAGCAGAATGAGATGTCAGTACTCAGGTGACAGCTCAAATACAGGGAAGACTTGCAGCAGCCCCACACAGGGCCTCCCTCCAGCTTTGCTGGCTTTTGTGTGATGGATCTTGATGTTGCTGGATCTCAGACCCATCATCTGTGCCTCTGGGAGGTTCTCATGGTTGCAGAAGAAGCAGTAGAAGTGTTACTGCAAGGATACCTGCAGTGCTGCATAGGGCTCAGCACATCTGGAGTAGGGAGCAGTGGTGGTAAAGGCCATGATAGGGGTTTACAGGGAGAGCCTCAGTCTTCAGGCAGTTTTCAAATGCAGGAACATACAAACAGAAAAAACACCCTGTACTGGTCTGATTCACTGGAGGAGAGGGTCGCTGTCTATTGGCCTGTGTTCTTCTTGGCTTTGAACTTTGCTGAGTTCTCTGCCAAGGTCCAGGTGTGGGATTTCAGTGAAATGAGCTGCAATTGTAAACACAGTTTTAGAGAATTGTTCCAGGTTATTTCACAGTTTCTGGTTCCCCTTCTGGCATACTTTGGCTTGTTCACACCTGTGAAATGGAACATTCTGGTTTAACAAGGAAATGTAATTAGCCTTTAAAAGGTTTAGTTGTGCAAAATGAGTTTTTCTCTTGGCACTTCTTTAAGGTCTTTAACAGAAACAAGATAAGCATCCAGGGGGCTTTTTGCTTTTTTTTTTAAGAGAAGCTTTAGTTTAGTCAGATAATAAAAATGGAAATATTATTTAGTGCAGAGCATGTAAGATAACTTTTTTTACCTAACCAAATGGTTAGGCTGAATTCATTGCCCTCTTTTTATACAAAGAGCTCTTCATTCTGATGTGGGTCAGTCAGATCTGCTATCACACCAGGCATGCAAAATCATTGCCCTAGTCAATGCTGGTGTGTATGTGCACACTTGTATGCCTGGTGCTGAGGAAACTGGGAGCAGGAACTTACACCTGCAACGTACTTTCCTCGTGGAATGGAAATAAGGTAAACAATGGAAAGAGTTCCTCAAGACTGGATTAACAATTGGAGCCTGTTTTTCTGAAATCAGTTGATTGAATTAAGATATCAGCACCTTGTGTTTGGCATGCAGGTTTCTGCAGGGTTTGAGGGGGAAAAGCGAACAGGACTGTGCCAGACTGTCACTGAGAGACCTGCTGGTATTTAGGGGTGTTTGGGGTCTCTGTGTCCCCAGTGCCAGCACAGTGGGTATGGCAAAGGTTTGTTTCAGGCACAGGGACCATCTCCTAAACTAGCCATATCTTCATGGTGGAAGACATTTTTTTATTGCCTTATGTTCCGCTTTCTTCGCCAAGCTCTAAATGGTGTTTGGGAAGATCCCCAGAGTTACAGCAAAGCAGGAAGGAACTGAAATCATACTGAGGTTTAGTTTGCTGTGCTCTACAAAACAAGTTGCTAAAAATTGATACATCCCCATGAATTCATGTCTTGTATTTGTGTAACATCACCAAATTGCACTCATTTGTGAATGTGTCCTATACCTTTTGTACCATTTTGAGATAGTATTGGCCATAATGTTATCCCTTAAGATTATTCAGGGGTTTATTTTCTTTTTTAATGAGACCAGATTTGTTTGTTTGCTATCTAGAGACTAGACTTCTCAGGGATTGAGCCAGACGTGAAGCCATTTGAGGAAAAGTGCAGCCGGCGCTTTGTGGTGTGCTGCCAGGACTTCTCCCTCAACCTCCTTGCTCATCTCAGTGACAGGGCAGAAGGAGGACCCACCAACGTAAGGGGAGCTCCAGTGTGTCCTGCTTTGTCTTCTTTCTCCTCACCAGCAAGAAAAGCCCTTGGCAAATTAATCTGGGTGGTTACATCCCATTTTGCCATGAACTCTGTTGGGATCTGGCAGGTGGTGACTGCTGGCCCAGAGTCATTACAGGATTTGTCTGCCTTGGTATTTTGGTGTTCCAAAAATGTGTTTGGGGACAGGGTCTGTCCTGACATGCCTCAACTTGCAGTAACTGGGACTGCTGGGAAACCAGCAGTTCAGAGGCAGAAGGAATGGGGAGCCTGTGTCTGCCAAATTCTGGGTCCCCGTGAAAGTCCTGTTGGTAAATGATTAAGCTCCATCTCCAAACCACTCATGGCTGGTTTTTATTTCATTTCCCCTAATGGCAAGGGATTTCCTTGTTCTGGAACCTTCTTCTGACTCCCAGCCTAACCATATTCACAACCACTTTATTATATGCATTTGTTATCGTACCAAAGTTGTGCCTTAGCCTAAAAATCTATTGTATTTTCTGAGCCTCTGATATCTGTAGACAGCTGTTACATCTCACCTCAACCTTTGTTCTGCTGGGCTGAGCAGACCAGTCTCCTCAAGTCTTTCCTCCCAAAATAATCCCCGTTGTCCTGTCCTGCTCTTGCTCTGGATCACCCCTTTCTGCAGGTAGAGCAGCAGGTAGCATCACAGGGGAGGCAGCAGCCCTGGCACTGCCCCATCTCTACTGATGCTGCCCTGCCTGATGCCTGTTAGAACCACAAAGGCTTCTCTGTGATGGTTTCATATTGGCAGCTCCCAGCTCCAATACAGGACAGCAGGCTCCATACACGACACCAGGCTCGTTCTCCTCAGTAACTCCCAGGAGACGGACGCATCGCTAATAGCAAAGGTTCTTATTATTCATCCTTAATCAGGTCCAGAGTGAGACCTAATCAGCACATTTGCAGCATTGATGTAATGCCTTGAGTCATGTTGGAATATCTCAGGCACTCTACAGTCTTATCTTCAGGCCTTAGTTTTTATCTTCACATGGATGCACGCCTACTGCAATTTTTGAATTAAAAATACATGCATTATTGCCACTTGCCTTGTGTTGTCAAGGTCAGTAGCTACAAAAGAGGTTGGCAGATTTTGCACATGCAGTTCCTCAGCAGTGTTAGCCTTGTATTTGAGCTGCCCTGGCTGGGAGAACTAACTTTCCTCCTGGGAGAGCATCTGAGGAACGTTTTGAGTGTCACAGTTGGGCCGTCCAGAGCTGATGGACTTTGGGAAATCAGTAGTGGTCTTTAGCATGTGATCATAAACACTCTTAAGCTGATCTATTTCTCATTGCAAAGGATAAACAGCTCTGATGAACTGAGTTCATCTTTTCTTTCTGACTTTGTAGTTTACCACTTATGTAAAAAACATATGGATTTCATTCTTTTTATTTCATTGATGGCTTTAAAGTAGCTTTTTTCTAATTGACCAGATCAAAATGCAAGAAGGTGCAGGGAAAAAACAGATTTATATATTTATAAAGCAAAAACCATGGATTATCTGTAAGAATTCTGTAGAATGCTGGCATACAAAGCTAAAGGCACAAACACATACAGAAGGTTCCCAGTTTCCTTAGCAGGGAAGGCAATGCTGATACCCTTGAACCTGTGCTGTGCATTTTTTTTTTTTGACGCGTGCATTCCATCAAATTTCCAGGTTGAGCCCTTTTTCCTAAGCTTGGCGTTATTCGACCTGAAAAATAATTGCAAGATTTCAGCTGACTTCCACGTGGACCTGAACCCCCCGTCTGTCCGTGAGATGCTGCTGGAGAGCTCCGTGTCCGGAGCGGAGGGAGCCAAGGGACGCTCGCCAGGCGAGAACCTCGTGCACGGGGTCCCCGAGTCCTGCCTGCACTACATAAAACGGGTGAATATCTGACCTTCTCCTCATTCTGTGCCTCTGTTGAGGCTGTGGCTGTTCAGCAACCTGGCAGCGTGGTGTTACCCACTGCGTGGGGAACCACAAGTCAACTTTTCTCTTGAGCTGTGGGGTTTTGGTCAGGGTTGAGTTTGCCACTTCGGGCTCGCTGGCAGTGACAGGCAGAGCACCAGACAGAGTTTTTCAACACTTGACCATGCTCAAGCCTGGTCATGATAGTCCCTTTGGCCTATCCACAGCAGCAACCAGGGCAGGGTGAGTGTGGGTTGTGGGAAGGGACAGTTTGATGACTGGGGGCAAACCCTGCAGTGCATGTCAGGTGTCCTGCTGTCTGACAGCTGCTGCCTGTCTGTTGCAGGGGGTTTTCTCCGTGACTGATCCACATGCAGAGATCTTCCTGGTGGCCCGTGTGGAGAAGGTGCTGCAGGGCAGCATTGCACACTGTGTAGAGCCCTACATGAAGAATTCGGACCCTGGAAAGGTATTGGGTGGGGCCATGAGAGTATCTCCTTAGTGGTGCTCTCTTCTGCTGCAGGGAGTAGTGTGGTCTGAAACACGGGTTGTTCCTGCTTCTATTTAGTTTCTTTCTGATAAATACAACCTTTGTTTGTTCTGTTTGCACTGTTCCCAGGCTGGCTTCAGTTCAGCTGGGCTGTCCTGGGAGATTCGATTCCTTCCCTTGGAAAGGGCAGAGGATTTTTCGAAAGATCCAAGCACTTGGGGCATGGGGACCTTTCCCCATTGCACTTCGCCAAGGCAAAGCCTGGACTGGCAGCAAAAAGTGGCACACTTCATGTCCAGAACGAAGTGTCTACATAAGAATCCTTTAGGTCGGGAAAGATCGAGTCCAGCCATTAAACCGGCACTGCCAAGCCCAACACTAAACCATGTCCCTAAACACCACTTCAGCATGTCTTTTAAATACCTCCAGGGATGGTGACTCCACCACTTCTCTGGGCAGCCTGTTATAGTGCTTGATAATGCTTTCAGTGAAGAAATTTTTCCTAATATGCAAGGGAGAGACCCTGCTGCAACCACTATCAGTTTCTGCATGTCAAGTGGAGCTCATGCTGCCTTGTTGCAGCCACTCAAAATTAGTTCCTGAAAAGTCAATTATAGAACACCCAGTGATGATGGCATTCCCTTGGCACACTTTCTAAGTCTGTATGAGATGAGCCATTTGCAGTTAATTTTGGAAAATAAACTAATATAATAGGTTTAATATGACTGTGCCCTCAATGTTTGCTATTGCTTTTCAAAGTAATAACTGTGGATGGAGTGAAGTGGCAAACAGGGGTGTCTGTCAGCTGCTGCAGCAACTGTTGTGCTGTGTGCCTGAGGAGCTGTGCCCCGTGGAGAGATGCTTTTTCCTGGAGAGTGCAGCACTCCTCACTCCTTTCCCAGGGCAGCAAGGAAGTCCTGGCACACACTAACCCGCCTCTCTGGTGTTTTGCAGACTGCCCAGAAAGTCCATAAGGTGGCCAAGCAGGTGTGCAGCCGTCTGGGGCAGTACCGGATGCCCTTCGGTTGGGCTGCCAGGTGAGTATCCTCAGACTGGGCTTTGCCCATGGCAGGAGCTGCTGCTGCTGTGAGTTATCCAAGGCACCAGTCGGCCGAGTGGGCAAAGGGCCAAGTGACTGAAGTCAGTGAAGCTGCAGCCGGGGGCAGAGTTTGGCTCTGACTCCCAAAACAGAATTGGGATTGGCCTGAAATGCTCTTTCTAGAATTAGAAACAAAGTATTAAAAAGTAAACAGTGCTGGGAAGGCAGTAACCTTCCTAATGACCTGTAGCTACTGCTGTCAGGGAAGAGCATTCCTGGGAACAAATTACACCGTACCATGCTACCACGGAAATCAGTGCAGAAACTCCCTCCTGCCACCATCCATTGCCAGGGACAGGATGAGAGTAGAGGATCTCCCAGCCTAGAGGTGGCAGTCAGCTGGGGCTTGTTTTCCATCTTAAACTGTTTTAATTAATGTTCTTGAGAATGGCTAGAGGTAGGAATCGCATTCCCTTGCTGTTCTTTACTGGGACTGATAAAGGATGTCACTGCTAACTCTCAAATCTCAATGAGAGGAAGGCCTGAAGGCAAGATCATCCGCTGCCTCCTAGTGCTAAATTGCATTTTGGTGCTGACAAAAGGGATGGTAATGACATGGGAACACAGAAAACTGTCACAGTGGGATGGAATTCGATGGTATATTGCTTGCAGTGTGTACTCTTGAGCTGGATTTTCCTGTGACACTAGCTGCTCACCTTCGAGATTGTATTTCTGGGATACATCTGAATCCTGGGAGCCAGCACTCAGCTCTCTTTCAAGTGGTACCTCAGCTTAATGATGGGCTCTGTATGGGCATTGACTTTGGCTTCAGATTTATTCCTGCTGGGTAAAGAGCTGCCTTTGGACAGCAAAGAGCTGAGTGGCCTGGTGCAGGGAACTGTGTTGCTCTGCATCTCTGGAATGCATCCCCTGGGAGGGGATGGAAGGGTGTTCATGATTGTGGACCAGGCTTGGAAATGGGCTGGATGTGTCCTCCTGACCTGGCTGGAGAGAAGGGAAATGGGTGATGTCCCATGTGATTCAGTGTGACACGCTGCATTGAAGGCTGTGTGGGGTCTAAGCACCATGTGAGGATGGGAGAGCAGTCAGGTCTGGTGGTGTGCAGGGCAGTTGCAGGGCAGTGAACCTCTCACCCTATAAACTGCCTTTCAGAGATGTCAAAGACCTCAGTGTCTGTGTATTTATCAACATTTAGGAAACTTACCTCTTTTTTTTTTTTTTTTTGCAGACCAGTTTTCAAAGACTCCCAGGGCACTCTTGATGCTGAAGGAAAATTCTCACCCCTCTACAAGCAAGACAGCAGCAAACTCTCAAACGAAGATATGCTGAAGCTTTTAGCAGAGTATAAGAAGTAAGTGTGAGAGACTGGTGTAGGGGCTGGGCAGGCATTTTAACATACATTTTGAAACAGTTAAGTGTAAGCACGAGATGACAATTTCTAAAACACTCAGAAGGTAGCAAGAAGTGCTGCTGATGTGTTCAGCACCTGAGCTTTCAAGATTCACACTCTTGTTCCTTTCTCTAATGCAGACCAGAGAAGACAAAACTACAAGTCATTCCAGCCCAGTTAAATATCATCATCAAAGATGTCCCGCTAGACTTCACAAGTAAGGATCTTGGATCTTAAAATAAATGCTGATGACTCGAGCCTCAGGAGTTGATGCTTCTATGTGGAATTTTTCTGTTTCATTAACAAGAGTATCTTGGGGGTGCAATGAGAAATGAGTAATTCAGCATAACCACTGCCTTATAAGTCTTTCTGATGGATTCTCTGGAGGGATGTGAGCCAAGTGCAGAGGTTTACCTGAGGGGTTCATCTGCTTTCCAGTTTGGCCATCACATCCTAAATCTAAAGGAAACCACCTGCCTGCTTTTGCTGGTGTTATTACATCAATCTCATATGACGTTTTTGATCCATAACACTGGAGGGCTTCACAAACGTGGTCAGTGTGATTCTTTACTTTGCATTTAAAGGAACTGAGGCAAAGAAAGGACTTGTGATGTGTTCATTGTCACTCCATGGACTTTTGGCAGCTCTTGTAGGCTAATCTCCTGTCCAAAAGGCTTTTCTAGTGGACTTAATTTTTTCTGTTCTTATTTTCTTCCAGATTGTGTCACAGCTTCTTACATTCCTATAAAGCCTTTTGAGAAGAGCTGTGAGGACGTTGCGGTGGAAGTGGAGGAGCTTGTCCCAGAAGTTGCAAAATACTGTTACCCCTTCACTGTCTACAAAAACCACCTCTATGTCTACCCCTTGCATTTGAAGTATGAGAACCAGAAGGTGTTTGCGAAGGTGAGTGACCTGGAGCGAGGGCTGGGGTGATGCTGCTGGCCTGTAGCAATGGCTCATCCTCCTGTTCTCCCCCATTTCAGGCAAGGAATATTGCTGTCTGTGTTGAGTTCAGGGATTCAGATGAAGCTGATGCCAGGCCACTAAAGGTGGGTACCTGTTAATGGGGCTGCCATTTGCTCACTGCTGTGCCAGCCAGTCTGAGCAGGCAATAGGAAAACACCAAGTTTCCATTGCTGTTTTAATTTGACTGGCTAATTTAGGATGGTAGCAACCCTGAATTCAGCTCTTCATTTGTGTTTCCAGTGTATATATGGCAAACCTGGAGGCCCTCTCCTGACCACAAACGCGTATGCTGCTGTGCTGCATCACAACCAGAGTCCAGAGTTCTATGATGAGGTAAAAACAAAATGTGGGAAATAGCAGATTTTCCTGGATGCTACAATGCCAAGGGGCTTTTCAGGGATACCTCTCTTTGCAGGGCTGGGTGAAATATGGGTAAAGATAATCACCAGCCCTTTGCCTCAGCAGAAGGGCTCAGCAAAGCCAGAGCCTTTGTCAATTTTTAATGTCAGTTTGTTTTCTGCTGTCTGTACTGTCACGCTTTGTGCCTCCAATCACACACCCCCATTAATAAGTAATGTTGCAAATATGATGAAAATGTTAGCCAGGAGTTACTTAAAATGGGTAAGAATATATCTTGTGTAACTGCATACAACATAGCGTTTGTGAAATAAAATAGAACTAAAATATTACTCCACAAAAATACAGCCTGATCTATCATGATATCATTTTAGATTAAAATTGAGCTTCCAATTCACCTCCATCAAAAGCATCATTTGCTTTTCACCTTCTATCATGTCAGCTGTGAAATTAATACAAAGGCAACATCGAAAAAACAGGACACCGTTGAAACTCAAGGTATGTTCAATGCTTAAATTATTTTTGTTGGAGTGGAAAAGGCCAAGATAAAATGAATGTAGGGTCTTGAAAAAGTATTTGATTAAAATACTAGTCTATCTGAATTTTCTTTTCTAAAAGCAACCTAGTGCAAAATTGTAGGTCTAAACTGGAATACACTCAATGTTTTTGGTGTATACTAAAGCTCAGATTTTTGCTGCAATCTGACAGATCTTTCTGCATGTTCCTGACTTGCACAAATAGGCTGTTCTCAGGCAAGACACCAACAAAAACCTGACACTCAGTCAAGGCCTCAGGGGCTGATCCTGCCCACACTAGACATGTGCACACCCAAGTCCCACTGGTCGGGATGCCTCTCCATTCATCCAGTCCTCAAAGGACCCTCATCATGGTGCACAGCCATGGCTCATGCACTGTTTCTGCCCCTCAAACCCACTCCTGGTCTTGGTTGTGCTGTGTCTGAATTTCATTCACCAAGTCACCGGGTAAAAGGTGCTTTGACAACACTGACGTGGTTGATCCCAACCTCTCTGAAACCACTTGCACAACTGCAAGTTCAGACTTCCCAGGGTGAGAGACAGCTCTGTTTGAGCTGAACATGTATCACTGTGTGTCTGCTAACTCTGCCCCACTGGTTGCCTCCACAGTGGGATACGCCTGGGTCCCGTTGCTGAAGGATGGGCGGATCGTCACCCTGGAGCGGCAGCTGCCGGTTTCATCCAACCTTCCACCCGGCTACCTGGGTCTTGGAGACACAGAGTCACGAAAGGTAGGAAAGCCATTTAAAATGGGCCTAAATGTAAAAGGAAGAGGAAAGTTGAGCTTCTGTTGCCACTGTAAGTTCTGGGCTCCTGTTGATGCTCTGCTCAGCTGGAAAGGTCTGTACTGCAGGGCAACCCCAAAGCTTAAAGTTCTTAGGGATGGGAAACAGGACACCTTTAATTCCACTTTCCCTGGTTATACAGGTTGTAGAGAATATTTCGGTGGCAGGCTGGACTAGGCTGTTGCAGGTGGCAAGTGCAGGAGAGTGAGCACGTGGGCTCTGGGTGTCTGTACAGAGCCACCTTCTCACCAGTCTGAAACCAAGCACTTGAATGTTGTCTGTTCACAGCAGCCCAGCGTGGATGCAAAATGGGTGGATGGAGCAAAGCCACTGTTTAAAATCAGAATCCATTTGGACTCAACAATTTACACCCAGGTAAGTCAAGCACCTCACTCTTGAAGACTTGCAATGCAAATGCAGAGGAAGCAATTGCTGTGTCTCTACTGCTGCTAAACCGTAGCTGGTGTGGGAAAGAGGTACCTGGTTTGCAGAGCAGCACTGAGATACTTCTGTAGCAGCAGAGCTGAGATTACTTGCAGGGATCTGCTCCTTGTCTGGATGTGATAAAATGATTGTGTGAGTGCATGAGCCCAGGGGAGAAGCTGATGTTTTCTTAGTCAATTGCACTGTAACTGGCAGGACAAAGGAAACACCTGAGCAAATGAGCTGCTTCAATGACACAAAAGAGAGAAGAACTGGTGGATATGAGAGGTAGACACAAGAAAACAAGAGTCCTGATTTTCCTTTGAAACTAGTTCAGGCTGTTTTATCAAGTGCTTGTGCATTCTGCCACCTTATGGTAGTGGTGGACATCCTCAAGCTTCACATGATGTGCAGCAAAGATCCCCAGCACATGATCTGGGGCACCTCCTGTCAGCACTGCTCATGGGAAAATGCCCTTGGCAGGACTTGTCCTGTGCTGAATGTCATCAGCTGCCTGTACATTCACAGAAATTCGCTTTCAGCATCTGAATCTGGTTTAATGCCTTACTGATTCCGTACAACACTGAAAGCAGCACAGTAGTTCCACTTCCCACCACATTATATTCCCAGATGCTTTTCAGGGTTAAATAACCCAGTAATTAAATTTATCCTTGGAAGAGGAGGGAGAATAATGGTAAGGAGAGCCTGCCTCGGATGGACGGTAGGATGTCAGTGATGCAGAAGGTCAGGCAGTCTCTAAGAGTCGCAGTTGTGAGGGGAAGGCTTCTGTTTTTCCAGGCCAGTGTTGGATGGGGATTGGGACTCAGGGTAGTGCAACACAGGAGAATTTTAACACTGCTGGAAATTTTGTGCTTAATCTTGAGTATGGTTGGGAGCCCAGGGATGGGCAGTGGATGGGTATGTTGGAAAAGACAAGGAGCAGTACTGCAGTCCTAGGAGATGGCAGCTGGGGATCAAGAGAGCCACTGGTGGGGGCATGGCCCACTGCTCTAGGTAAAACAGCAGATTTTTGAATGTAAGCTGCAGAGTAGTAGTTGACAAATGTTGAGGCTACTGAATTGAACTCATTTGTCTCTTCCAGGACATACACTTGCACAAATTCTTCCAGTACTGCCAGCTGGTTCAGGCGGGAGCTAAGGAGGTCCCAGGAGAACTCGTTAAATGCCTAAAGGTGAACAGTGTCTGTTGGTGGGCTTTGTTTGTGTTTTTACAGACCATCAGCAAATACCCAGACCCCTGTCCTGTAGGAACAGGCCCTCACTGCAGCACTGGGGCCCTGTGCATTGTGCAGTATCTTTACCCTCACTCACTGACACAATTGTCTGTGTGCTGCTCCCCTCCCTTCCACAGCAGATAAAACAAGCATGACTCTGCCATTCTCATGGCAAAACCTTCCTCCTGGTGGACTCACATTCTTCCCCTGCTGCCCTAGGACTGATTCCAACCTTTAAACTGTAGCACAATTCCTTGTTTTCTGGAAGCCCATTCAAAACAGGATTCTTTTTTAAGGCTGAAAAAGATATGTGGGATTACCAGCCAGTTAAATCTGACCAGAGGTGACCTGTGACCTAGACCCAGCTTTTTGGCAATTTCTGCAGCATGAGTAAGGACCTTGGAGCAGGTCCACCAAAGGCTTCTGCCAGGAATATTATATACTGGCTATTTACTATCCTTATTTCCTTCCATCACTGCCTGGGTTTGAGAGTGCTGCTGTAGCAACAGCTCCACTTTCAGCGGCGGGGATGTATCACCACAAAGTTACTGAATGTGTGTCAGATAATGTACAAATATTTTAAGAAATAGAAATAGTGGCAGGTTTTGAAACCAAGCACTAAAATCACACTAAATTTGTTGTGAGCATTTCATCAGGTCCCAGCCCTGCCAAGCCCCAGCGCCCTCGCTGCAACCTAAAGACAGGGAGACATGTCTGTGCTAACTACAAGTGAGGGATTCTTAATCACCAAGACCTCAATAATTTCAGTTATTTCAATAACTAGATGGAGATTTAAAAACACTTCATTAGATTTGCAGGTTTGAAAACTGAAAATTAAATGCACTGTCTTTCCTAGATTCGTATCATGAGGTTCAGACACAAGAGTTTTATGAGATGGGTAGAGAGCATTTGTACCAGGTTATCTTGACCTTCACCAAGTCCCTTAAATCCCATTTCTGGTAGCAAGCTATGGTTTCTGGTGAAAAGTCTTAGTGCAATTCATTAGGCAGCAGGTTCTCATGCTCCAAAGGCACTTGTGAAAATGGCATTTCAAAAAACTGGCGCAAAGTAATGACAAGACTTGGGAGCTAAACTTCAGCCTTAAATTTTGGGGGTTTTCAGTCAAATCATAGCATGTGAGCTCTAATTAAGTCATAGCTATCAGGGCACATCGGAGACAAGGATTCATGCTGCTCCTCAAAGGTGTGCAGCTGGAATCTGTGAGCTGGAAGGAGGCAGTTAGTGCTGCTATGGGTCCAAGTTCCCCCATCCTCCACACCCTGAAGGCCACACCCTGAAGCATTTGCTAACACCTGTCCTATTGCCACAGAATGTCTGTGGACTGTAAATGTTTAACATCTGCAAAATGTTGAACTAAAAGTGTCTGTGTTTTGAACATTTGTTTTAGTGTTTGCACGCCATGGAGATCCAAGTAATGATTCAGTTTCTACCTGTAATTCTTATGCAACTATTTAGAGTCCTCACAAACGTGACCCAGGAGGATGAAGTAGCTGTCAACTGCACCATGTGAGTGTTGGGCAAACCATCCCATCTTTGGTTACAAATGCAAAGCCACAAATGACAGTGCAAAGCAGGGTCTGGTTTCCCAGTACAGGGTGCTAAGTGACAGCACTGGCTGTCCCCTGCTGCTCTCTTCCCCTGGCACATCTGGGTGTTGTAGGGCTTCATGGGGCCCTGGTCTGGGAGATGCATGGGGAAAAATGCGGTACTTTAAAGATACTCCTGGTTTGCTTTTCAAAAGGGTTTGCTGGCAGAGATGGCTCTGGAAGCTGAGTTATTGGGGTGTCTATAGGCACCAAAGTATCCAGGCACATCCCAGCTGCAGGCAGCAGATGTGGGGAGCCATGCCCAGGTCTCATCCCAGCACACCAGTCCCCTCTGTCAGGATTGCTACAAGTTACCCAGAGCTGGGTGTGTTGTGCTGCAGCAGCAGGAGCAGCTGCTCCAGCTGTGCCTGCTCGGGTCCCCCAGCGCTGTTCTGGCGGCACCAGCCTGGGCCCATGGAGCCCCCAGCTGCAGGCAAGCAAGGGACTGAAGGCAGCTCAAGGGGCAAAAGCACCTTCCCTGCTTAGCACTGGCCATAACTGTCTGAAACTGAGGGATGCACTGAAACATCCATCTTCCTCCTCAGGTTATTCCTCAGTGAAGTGCTGCCAGGGCAAAAGGGGATGCTGGATGCCACTCCATGGAGATCCTCCTCTGGTTCTAGTACATACCGTGCATCCATGTACCAGAAGCACCCTGCTAGCATGGAACTGGAGGTTGGAGGCTGAGCCCTGCTCCCCCAGGGATGTGGGACTTGAGCCCTGCTTCCCCAGGGATGCAGTGCCTATTGCAGTCACAGCTTTGTGCCATATGTTTTGGGTTGTGAGGACTTCTCCTGTGTGGAATACTGTAATTCCACTCTGTTTAAATCACCGGGGGCAAGGACAGGGGATCAGGTGACCAACTCCCACCTTAATTTCCAGAGATTTCTTCAAAGCTTGACCTGATGCTCTCCAGTTTGTCAGTAGCTTTCTGTTTAATGGCAACTGTTTTTTCATCAGACTTTCATAGTGGAATTTAAAACCCAGTTTATCTGATAAATGGCTTGTAAACTGCTCCTTGTGGTTTGGCCTGTGGGGTTTGTGAAAACATGCAACAGTTTATTGTTCCCTCTGGTGGGACTGAATTGTAAATCCTCAGTGCTGGCTGGGGAAACTGGGCTCTTACTGCCTTCACTCCTGGGAGTGCTTCCAGAGGGCTTGCATATTCTCCAGGGTCTGCTTGACCCTCCTGAACTACAAGGTGACAACCCAAAATAGTCCAGTGCATGTAACAAGAACCATATGATGCAAGTTCAACAAAAAAGGAGGCTTCCAGAATTAATAAATTCAGGGGATGCAGGAAGGTATCAGATTATAAAAACGATGAGACTGTTTTATCTCGTCTCATCGTGCAAGGAGTCTTGAGTGTTGAAGTGAGCTGGTGATACCTGGCCCAGCACAAAAGTGAAGAAGAGGCTTTGGCCACCTCGTGTCTGAGTGCTTTGTGCAAGGATGGTGCAGCCACAGGAGCTGTGAGGGGTGCTGGCTCTCTGCAAATCAGGCTGTGCCAGCAGGTTTTGAGGTTGAGCAGGATAGGACACACATGGTTTCTACTTCTGTGAGCTGAAGGAACTTGCCCTCGCATTGCGTGCTGAACACAAACCATGTTTCTCCTCAGGGTTCTTCTGCACATTGTGTCCAAGTGCCATGAAGAAGGTCTAGACCACTACTTGCGCTCCTTCATAAAGGTCAGTCACGACACACTGCTTCTCCAAACTCCCTGCTGGGAGCAGGCACACCACTGACACTGTTGTTCTTGCCTCAGTATGTCTTTCGAGCTGAGAAGCCAAGTGTCAAACAGGCGAAGATGACCCATGAAATCCTGGTCCTTTCCATGGCCACAATCTTGAAGCAATCAGCAGATTTTCTAGCCATCAATAAGCTACTCAAGGTGAAGTATTGGCTGTACTTGGCTGTCAAGGATGGAGGGGAGGAAAAGGGTGTCTGGTATAAAGCCCAACACTTACACTCATCTAAACCCACTGCCGGGACAAAGCTACTGGGGCAGCTTCTCACATCCACATCCTTGAGGTTCTCCCCTTACAACAGAGATGAATTCTTGCAGAGAACCTGGCTGTGTTTAGGCTCATGGCAGGACACAGCAAAGGGTTGTTTATCTTGTCAGTTTTACCTATTTTCCTCAAGCCATACATGAGGGGTGACTCACAGGAGGCAGACTGAGTTTCTGCCTCTGGGCCTTTGCAGGGCTTACACCCCAAGCTCTGCTGGCTCTTGGCAGGATGCACTGGGATGCAGAGGGGATGGATCTGTTCCCAGCCTAAGACTGGCAGGACATCTCTGGGTAGCAAAGGCACCCACGCCAAGCACAACTGTGCTAAAAAAATGCCATTTGAGAGTGTGAACTCTCCCTCACAAATAGGTGCTTCTCCACAGAGTCAGGGAATGTCAGTCCTGCTGAGAAAAGTAATAGTATTCTTTGTTCATTCTAGTACTCGTGGTTTTTCTTTGAAGCACTGGCAAAGTCCATGGCAATGTACTTACTGGAAGAGAACAAAATCAAGGTAAAAATAAATTTGGTCAATGCTGTCACAAGCTATCTGACTCTCCTCCAAAAGTTTTTCTGAAAAGCTTTGTAACTCTTTATTTAAAAAAAAACCCAACCATGCCAAGCTGAACATCTAGCCTTTTTCCTTTTGCTTTACTTTTCCCTTTTTCCCCTTTTCACTCTCAATTGTAATTTAAAAATTCCAGACCTCCTTACAGCTTGTGCACCCTCCTTTTCTGTTACTACCTACTCCAGTTGCAGCCAGTGCTGTCTTTGGCCAGTGTTTTGTTAGCAAACAACTAAAACAAATGCTAAAGAACTTGTGTCTGGACTCGGGCTGGCTTGCAGCACTGAGTTTGGGTGTGCTTTTGGTTTCAGCTGCCCAGAGGCCAGCGGTTCCCCGAGTCCTACCAGCACGCCCTGCATTCGCTGCTGCTTGCCATCATTCCTCACGTGACCATTCGCTATAACGAGATCCCCGAGGAGTCCAGGAACGTCAACTTTAGCTTGGCTAACTTCCTGAAGGTCAGCAGCTTCTTACCTTCTCCCAAGGTTTCTACCAGAAAAACAAAAAGACAGATAAAGAGAAATAAGGAGCAAGCAAACAAATATGCTTTTACTTTATCTTGTACTTGGTTTTTTTTCAGTTGTCAAAACTCTGGAGGAGACAAGCTTTCCTAGGAAAGTAACTTTCTCTTTCCGAGGAGCACTAACTCTACATGTTACCTCGGGTTTTCAGTCATGCCTAGCAGCTGTTTGGAACCTGAAATATGTATAATCTCATTTTAAATATTTCTATTGTCCACGGGAGACTTATGCGAGATCATCCAAATAGTTTCAGAGAAACAGGATCAAGTATGTTTTGGAAAGTCGGCAGCATCTGGAGAATCAAATCGGGCTGCTGGCAGACAGTAATATGGAGAAGATTTAGCATGATTACTTTAATTTTTAATCATTGCTCACATCTTGCTATTTTTTCTCCAGCGTTGTCTGACCTTTATGGACAGAGGATTTGTTTTTAACTTGATAAATGATTACGTTTCTGGATTCAGCCCAAAAGACCCTAAGGTAAGCAGTAGGTTTCTTGAAAGGTGGCTTGCAGTTGTACTTATCTACATTAGTCAAAGCTCTGTAGTAATTATTTTATACAACTCTTGGAGGCCTTTTAGACTCTGTTCCTGCAGAGTCTTTTGGAGGCAGAGACCTCTTTGTCTGGACCAAGAGCCTGTATCCAGTTAAGTTTCCAAGTAATGTAAAGAGTCAGAAGTAAAGGAGAGATTGGTTAATAGTCTGGATGAAAAAGGAAAAGAAGTCTCAAGTGACAGCTGCATGCACTGACACTTGGTGGGAACAACACAGAAATTTGCCATTTATTAGTGAGTTTTACCACATGCTCTTTAGATTCCCCAATTCTTGTGCAACAAGCACATCAAACTGGAAGCACATGGGTCAAACTGAAAACATAGTTTGTGTTTGTCTTTTTTTTATCCCAGCTGCTGGTTGAATACAAGTTTGAATTTCTTCAAACCATTTGCAATCACGAGCACTACATTCCTCTGAACTTGCCAATGACCTTTTCCAAACCCAAGCTGCAAAGAGTTCAAGGTATGTCCTTTCTCAAGAGACTGGCTAAAGAGCTATAATTTATTAGTCTTGATGGCTTGTTACTACATGGACTTTGGTTTGGTGTCAAGGAAATGTATGTCCTCGTTAGCCTGATTTACATTAACCTCAGGACAAGATGCTTTTCTTTCAGGTTTACATAATTTTGCTCCACAATGGTATGCAGTCATTCTTTTCAGTGTTTCCTATATTTAAGTTTGCGTGGGACTAACAATATCCGAAAGAAACTGCCCGTGTTTCAGTAAATACAGAAGCTGTGCAAGTGTAATCCTTTGTTCTCATGAGTGTCAGCATCCCCTGAGAAGTGGATGTCTCATCAATGGGTACTGTAGGGAATGGAAATATAGGAGAACAGACTGAACTCACTGCTGCAGTGCCAGCTCCCCTTGTGGCCACCAGAAGGTGACCTAGGTTACCTTCTCCTTTCATTTTGAACAAGAGCACAGCAGGGCACAGCGTGTTTGAGCTTGTACTCAAACCTGGGCTGAAGGCAGCCAGCAGAGAGCTTGAGCCCATGCCAGTCCTTAGTGCATTCCAAGGGCATAAGTGCTGTGCACCACCACATATCCACACTGCTTTTGCTGTCACACCATGTCCCCTTTGGTCCTGAAGCTGCTCAGCAGCTCAGATGGGGTTTACAAGGGGCTGAGCTGAGGCACTGAGCAAGAGTGGGTGGCTGGAGCTGTGCCACCGATGGCAGTGTGGACATCAGTGGCCTCCCAAGAGTGCTATGGAGATACCCTCATTCTCCCTGGGTCCCACTTTCTCATCTGTGCTAGATAAATACAGTAAACACTGCCAGGTTTGGATGCTAATAGCTTGGCCAATATAAGTACAGGAGAGGAGAGTGAGGTTTGGGATTCCCCCATGTGACAGCCCAGTGGTTTTATGATTGTATGATTTATTCTGATGGAGGAAAGGGGATGTTTGGTTGTGCCTCAGGGTGTAGCTGTACAAGTCCTAAAGTGGTTCCACACACATGCAGATGGCAGAAGCAACAGTAACTGTGAAGTATCCCTTATTTTGATTTATATATATATGTGTGTGTGTGTGTGTGTGTGTGTGTGTGTGTGACCTCTCAGAGCTTTCTGAACCAGCTGCTAATGTCTTACACCAATTTGACTACTTGCCTGGCATCATTTAACAAAAAGTTTTGCTGGAAATGGCTGAGAAAAACACATCCATAGTGCCTCCCTGATGCTTTTTAGTGGCATGATAACATAGGGATGCTCTTTCTTGGTTAACATTCACCTTTGCATTTGAGATGGTTAAACTGAGAAGCTGTAAGGGCAGCTCATCTGTCCTCCTGTGTTTATTGTGACTGAGATCTACCAACTGAGATTTACACACAGCTCTTGCCAGTACAGCAGCCCTCCCACAGGTAGCTGAAGTGCCTTTGCAGTGGTGCCTGAGCTCTGCCTGCCATGGTAGAAGGATATAGTGATGCATCTCCATTGCAGGCTTGTCTGGTTTTATGGACAGACCTGTGGTTACAGGGGACTGCAGGCTCAGAGATGGAGAGGTACAAAGTGCACATCACCAAGGAGATACCCTGCTGGCATGCCTCACCTCTTTATCAACCTGTTTGGAGGAAGAGAGAGGTCCAAAGGGGCCCCAGTAAGGGGCCCAAACCCTTACTGCTCTGTTTCTGGGAAAAGAAGGAATAGCCCCCAGGGAGGTGGATAAAGAGGGTTTCTGCAGCTTCAGTCACTGCAGACAGGCATGATGACAGAGCACATTCCAGCAACCACATCCCATTGAGTTGAAGAGTTGCATGTTGGAGCAGTTTCTCTGAAACATCTCAGCTAATTCTGCATTGGTGGTGTGTGTCCCTTCTGCTGTACCTGGAGACATCAGCCAAAGCAAGCCCCAAACTTGGCCTCACAACCAGCAGCTTGCAATTGGTTTTGCAATCCTGTGATAGGAAAAAACCCAAGGGATTGATAGAAGCTGGGAATTAAGCAATAGCCTTACAAATAATATTTAAACATGACATACAGTCCTGTTTCTCCAAGATTTAGAGCATTACTTGTTCCCATTTATTTTTGCCGTCTTTTTATTTGTCCCTTTTCTTTTTACACATGAATTAGACTTTTTTTCATTTGCTGTGGAACGGTTCACTTCAGTAGGTAGGTCCAACTGGAATGACCAAATCCTCTAATGTCAAATTAAATATACACCTTCGAATCAATTAGCTTGCATTCAACTAATGAAATAACCATATTGTGTGACAATTAAGCATTTGCTAACATGACTAACAATGAAAGCTAGATAATGTTCCAGATTGCTTTCTCTTTCCTCTGAATCACAGTTTCACAATTGAGTAAATGCTACTTATGAATCAGTGAACCCAAAAATATTTTTTGCAGCCGCGGAGCTGTTGTAACCCTTTGGCTGGAATTTTCAAAGCTATGTGTATGCACCCTGCCTTACCACAGAAAAACTTTCACACGTGTTTCCAAAAAAAAGGTCTGAGCAGAGCACAGCTCTAATTCGGTGTATGGGTTGTCTGACAGAGATAATGGTGTCAGGACGAGGTCATTCATAGCAGCCCAAGTGCACACACACCCTGCACTGAAATCTCTGACTGTTGGTTCTCTGCTGCACTGTCCAGGCACATCCATGGAAGTGATGCCTTATCCTTGTAGCACCCACTCCTTTGATTACAGAATATAACCTGACTCTACGCGAGATGCAGGGTACAAGTTAAGTTAACCAGGGTAATCAGATCTTGAGCTGCCTTTCTCCTGGGAGTCAGCACATGTTCTAAGGAGCTGTGTTCAATATCTGCTGGTGGGAAGCTGAGGGAATCTCACAGTTTCTGACAAGCAGCTGCCTGGAGCTCTACCCCAGCTCCCCAGCCCATGCAGCTGTCCAGCTGTGCAGACTGATGGAGGATGCAGTACTGAGCACTTGGCACCTGCTCCTCGTTTGCATCCCTATCCCAGCAGGAGTATTTGCCTTTGCTCTGCTCTCTAACATGGAGAGAAGGAATGCAGATGTCATGGTGGATGTGGAATGAGCTACAGAGCAGCACTCCAGGGCTGGATGTCCTAAACCCACCATCTCCACTGCCCATTCCCACACTCACAGATGCTTGGTGGAGGTTGGCACTCCTGCAATGTGGGTAGTTTGGGGATTTACAGGATAACTGCCAGTCAGGAGTAAAGCAGCCCCCAGGCACTAAGTTGTCCTGTCTTTCCCCATTTCATCCATCTCTGCCTTTACAAATTACTCACTGGAGAGGTAAGCTTTGCAAAGCATCACATCTGTTTCAGGTGCTTCTGAAACAGAGAGGGCTGCAATTAATAAACATCCTGAACTGGAAGATGCCAAATTATTTGCTATGACTTAGCTCAATGGTGGAGAAAACTGTATATTCAGTTCAGGCATTATGAAAGATCAGTGCACTGCAGGAGAGAGTGATGAACCCTTCTGGAGGACTATAGTAGTTTAAGTGACCTTTTTCTCAAAACATTTCCCTTAACCGTTGCCTTGCTGTTTCTTTCAGATGTAAATCTCGAGTACAGTTTAACTGACGAGTATTGCAGGCACCATTTCCTGGTGGGGATGCTTCTCAGAGAAGCCTCTGTTGCCTTGCAGGACAACTATGATATCAGATATACAGCCATCTCAGTCTTAAAAAATCTCTTGATCAAGCATGCCTTTGACAACAGATACCAGCACAAGGTCAGGCCTGTTTTGTTGTCTTTTTAACATAATGTTGTTGAACTTTATGAAAAAAACCGCACACATCAGACTTTTAGATATTGCATGGTGCACTCATTACTTTTTAGGAAATTGCTGTAAATAACTGATAGTTATGGTAGAACAGTAATAGCTCTGAGAAACCATCTAGAAATGAAAATAATGCAGTCAGATAACTGCAGCCCCCTTATTCATCCTGAGTATTTAGGTAATAAAGCCCTAAGCCATTAAGGAACTTGAAAGTGTCATTAGCGAAGAGGTTGTTCAACAAAATTAGGCAACATCAATGATGTTCTGGTTTTGGGCTTAAATTCATATCCTGTGTTAATATGCTATAATCAGGAAACAGAACTGATCTCTGTTACTAGTCAGCTGCATGTTTTCCTAATTAGTGACTCAGAGGAGAGGATCTCAGTTCTCATGAGACGCTGGATTTCCGCTGGGTAGCTGTCAGTGTTCTTCAGGCAGAGGCTCAGAGTGTGGTAATGCTCAGAGCCTGGAGATGGGCTTGTTTTATCTTGGTGCTGCTCCCTGCTGACACAAAGGCCCTCAAAAGTGCCCATCTACCTGTGCAGACACTACCTGTCCTTGCTCTAGCCTGATAACATGCCCCTGTTTAGTGTTTAGGTCCTCAAATTGCTCCTAGGGTGCTGCATTGCTGAGTTTTACTGGGGACATGGATAACTTCCTGGCATGAAGGGTGGGAGGAGTGGCCCGAATGGGCCCAGAGCCAGCTCCTCTTCCCTCCCTTCTCTACCTGTTTGAAGGGCTGAGTGGGAGGTGGGCTTGGTTTTCTCCGCAGTGAGGATCCGTGGTGGTTACACAGCCTGGAAACGAAACTGCAGCCCATGGCAGCTGGCAAGACTTGATATCTCAGGAGAGATTTGCCACCTCCCTGCCAAGGCTGGGTCAGAGGCAGACTGTTCCTGCACTTCTGGGTGCCTGGAACCCCTCACACTAACTCAGGAGCTGTTTACCCTCTCAGTGTGCAGCGCTCTCCCTGACTTCCCAGAAACTCCACCTGTGTCACAGTTGTCTCATGGGGTATTTGTACATGTATTGTGCTCCAGGCTATGTGACCAGGAAACTGTCTGGAGCCAGGGCAGGATGCTCAGCTGGTGTCCAGAGGCACCAAAGCAAAAAATTACATCACAGGCTGAGTGTGGCAGGGTCTATTGGCACAGTCTCGCTCCAGCCAAGGAGACTCTATCTCTATCAATGGCCAAGAGGTTTTCTCATCCCATGAGTGTTTTCAAGATTTCTTTTATCTTTCGTTATACCGAATCACGAGAAAAAACTGGATTCTTTTATCATTCAAAATGTTCCATTCAATTTGCAAGCCTTAAATTTCTTTCCTTTTTTTTTATTTTGTAACTTTTCTGTCAAATCCAGAATAATAAATGTTTAACAAAAAATAATTGGATGTGAAAGAGCCCTCCATTTAGAAAATGTCAACCAAACCATTTTTGATATGTATCGCTTAATCCAAATTAATCTGTTCCTACAAACTGTTGTCACTAGAAGCATTTGCTGTGGAGAATTCCCTACTGGAAGCAATAGCCAGCACCAGGCATGGGGCAAATGTTTCTATTCCATTACTCCTAGGTGTTGTACTTAAAAATCAAGCCATGTAAGTCATAAGTAGCAGTTAAAGAGTTAGGAAATCCGGGATTTAGTTTGTCACACATCCTGTATGACTGGAAATGTTATTTAACCTCCAAAATCCCCGAGTGCCCCAAGCTTGTTGCTAGAAGGATAAAACCTCCCTGGCAGCTCTAGAACTGGAGATGAGAAGCCAAACCAACACATGTCCTCAAGACACCATATACAGTGTGTAAATACCCGTATATGTGTACATGTGCTTTGGCTCAAGAGTTTCCCTTTCTGAGTCCATTGGAAACCTGGGCTTTTACCTGTGTTTTTCTCCCTGTTTTCAGAACCAGCAGGCAAAAATTGCCCAGCTGTACCTGCCACTCTTTGGGGTGCTCCTGGAGAACCTCCAGCGCGTGGCCAGTCGTGAGGCACTTTATTCCTGTGCATCTGCCTCCAGTCCCGTGAGTAAAGCCCAGTGATGCCTCTTTGCCCTCTCTGTCTGTCCTGCTCTCCCCACACGCCCCCTGTGCAACTTCACTGCCTAGAGCCAGGCTCAGCTTTAGAAATAAGTGGTTTTTTTCCACTCCCCACAGGCCCGTAAGGTGCTTGTTTCTTTTAATTTGGCTTTTCTGTGACTTAGTTCTGTCTGCAGAACTGGGTACAAGGACTCTTCCTTTTTTAACATGTTTAACATGTTTCTGTACAGTATGTGTAGTGCCCTGAGATGCCGTAAATCCCTCCAAGTGCAACAAGTTGACACAGGACTCAGCCTTGGACTCCAGCAACTGTTATGGGGCGTTGCCTCAGAGTTGTGTGTGGTTCCCAGGTGGCCTTATCCTTGCAGACTAGACTTCCCTCCTTGTTTGGGGCAAAAGAAAAACAAATAAGACATTTGAGAAAAACAATTCAAAATTTCAACTCAAAAGATGAAAAACAAAGGAGAAAATGCTGCTGTGACTTTAATATCTTCTGCTATTCTTTCTACTCCTGAAGTTTTTGTTTCTTTGTTATGGAAGTAAGGATATAGATTTTTGTTTTCTGCTGTGTTGTTTTTAAAAACTGCTCTAATTTGCCTTTTTGTATTGCATTATTCTCTTCTGTAAGAGAATAGGTGTAACCTTCTATTTGTCACAAAAACCATATATTGCTTTACAGGCATCCAGGGATGAATTCATATGCAGTTTTGCATCCCCCTCAAATAGATCCAGCCTGATTGCAGACAAAGATCCAGGTAAATTTAATTTTTCTAAATTTTAGCACTCCCATTTATTTTTAACACAACTGTTATCAGCCTGAAAAACCCAAACCCTGTTACCCCAAACCCGAAACAGTCATCTCCTGAAAGCCCTCAGAGAGTCTACCTGCATTTCCATGGATGTGGTGTCACCCCGACTGTCCTTTCCAGATTTGTCCTTTTTGCAGCTTTTGACCTGGGGCTTTGCCAAGCCCCATCAGTGCTGTCTGAATTGTGTCCTCCACTCTCTGTCTGTGCTGCACTGACAAGTGCTGGGGCAAAGGGCTTAATTGTGGGGTCTGGGTTTTTTTTTTCAGCCTGTGGAGCAGCCCTTCCAAATGGCCATGCAATAAAGCGAGAGGACTCAAAAGGATCCCTGAACTCGGAGGGGGCAACCAGTTCCCCGGATCAGAGTGAAACTGTAATGTATCAGGAGCTGGAAATAACAGCGCTCACTACAGCAGTCTGCGGGATATGTTAAATAAGGGGGAGGGAGAAGGAGTTCCCTGTGTTAATGGTCTCCAAAGCCAGCTTATAGATCTCTCTGTTTGGAAACAAACAGATTGATGTTTACCAGAGGAGGTCAGAGTCACTGGTCTGGTATGCTTTCCCTCTTCAAACATCCCTGAGCCAAAAATAGAACTGTTGACAAATTACTTGTTAAAGATGAAAGGCAAAATCTGTGTGGAAAATCTCTGCTCCCATGGTGTGTTTATCCATACTCAGACATTCTCCCTGTGTGTGGATGGGTCTGAGCCTGGCCAGAGTCCAGTGTCTGGTGCCGGGAACTGGTTTCCATGCATGTCTGGGAAACAAAGCACTGTGGTGTGAGATTGCCAGTGACCACTGACTTAAGATGAGCTGTTTGATGAAAAACCGGCACAGGCCAATAACCACAGGCCCAAACTTGCAGAAGGTGACTGCAGTCACTCCACAAAAAGCTCTGACCCCACTATTTGGACAGGGTGTACTTTCTTCTTGGCAGATTGCACGCATGGAAATCAGGTATTTGTGCAATCCAGCCCCTGGTTTTGCTCAAGGTGCTTTCCAAATGCCTAGGTTGGCATGAATCATTGATCCATCTTCAAAAAGTTTGGCCCTTGCAAGGCAAAGATTATCTGGGCTCCTGGCTGTGTCCTGACATGCTTAGCAGAGGTGGGGCCTTGCAAGCTCTCCTTCATAAATCACAGAGCTACAAGACCAAGTATAGCCAAACACTTGACTATCAAACTGTTCAGCAAAGCCCTGAGCATGTGCTTCAGTGTTGCTGGTGGTGTTGAGGTGTTGCAGAAAGCAATATCACTTGCAGCTCAGCTCTTTCCCCCACGGCCAGACATCCTCCTCTGTGCCCTTGAAGGTACACTTTTCAGAATTGTTGAAAAAGGCTTTTCTGTTAGGGAATGCAATATCCACAAAACCACATAAAAGCAATGCCACATGGAGGGGCACAGCTTCAGTGCTGCTCTACAGAGGCAGACAGGTTGCTCTGTGCCTGTTGCCCTGGAGTGAATTGTGTGCTGACTTCATAGTTTGGCATGGTCAATAGCAAAACTCTGGCTATAGCACGCATCTCCAACTCTAAAATGATTGTTTCTTTCTGCTTTATTATGAGTCACATCCACAGCTTTTCCCAGAATAAACAGCAAATGAGATCTGTGGGTCACTCTCCAAACATGTGACGCACAGTTTTAGGATAAGTGTCCTGCTTAGGGCTTAATTGTATCCATTTGTTGGAGGATATGGCTAGGGCAAGCACAGAGGATGCAAAATAAAATTGGTATAACCTTAAAAGTCATGTTTCCCACCACACAGTGCCCAAGACTTTCCCACATAAATTGATTCACCAACAGGATTTCATTTATTTTGCCTAAATAGGAGTAGTATTTTGCCTAAGTAGGAGAAAATCAGAATACTTCCAAAAATCACGGGGGAGAAAAAAAAGTCTTAAGCTGAAATTTCCTCCTTTTTTTAATAACTGACTTTTTGTTTTGAAGTATATGCCTTTAACAGAAAGTTAGATTCTTGCTTTAAACTGTGATAGCCAAAGAACTCTTTTGTTACAAGAACTGTCTTTAAAAACGTCTGGGAGTTTAGATGCTGCAGAGAGCAGGGGAAGTGAAATCAGACTGTTGTGTGTTTTGCCAGATAAGGCCTCATTCCCTGCCCAGACATTTGTTTTTCTGGGCAGAGAAGCGTTCAGTCGTGTGTCCGGGATTTCCAGGCGGGATGGGCAGCAACCCCAAAGGATGAGCTGTCTCCAAAACATGGTGCTGTGGGGTGCTCAAGTTGGGGGGCAGGGGGAATGGCAGCACATCTGGTGTGTGCCGGGTTCGCTGTGCCCACGCTGCCCGGCGTCTGACCCCACACTCTGCTTGGGCACAGCCCAGGGACCCAGGGCCGTGGTCCTCCATGTCACATCTGTGTCCCAACAGGCCCGCAGAAGTTCCATGAGGAGCAGTGTGTCACACTGCAGCCGGCTGGACCAGTTTGAGATCCGGACACTTCTGATGTGCTACCTCTACATTGTGAAGATGATCTCTGAAGGTTGGTGACTCCTGCTCAGTGGGGGCAGCCAGAAGCACAAGGGACCATCACTGACAGTTTTGGTCTGTAAGGTCCCTCTTTGAGATTTTAAATCTCAGTGTACTGCTTTTCTTTTTCTTTCAGAAACTCTTTTAGCATATTGGAACAAATTCTCTCCCCAGGAGCTGATCAATGTCCTTGTGCTTCTGGAGTGAGTATGATGAGGTGGCTATTCAAACACTGCACCTTCATGTGGTCAGTGCTGGCTAAGGAGGAGACCACAGTGCACTCACTGCCCTGTGCAACACTAGGGGTGTCTGTCCAGTTGTAATGAAATACTCTTCCTCTCTCTGAGGAGAAACAAGTGTATATCAAGGGAGCACAGTGAAGTGGCAGTGCCCTGTGCTCGGCCTGGGCTATGTCCCACCATGTGTGAATGAGCAGGGCTCACAGCACAGCCTCCACATTGCAGTGGGTTTGGTGGAACAGATGGGTGAGAAGACAGGGCTGTGCCATAGGGTTTGGAAACCATGGGTGTGAGGTCAAGTGACTTGTAAATACAGACCCAAACCCTCGTGCACAGAGGAGTATCTCTGCAGGCCAGGACAATGTTCTGGATCGTTCCTGATCTGCAGGATCTCTAACAGATACGTATTTCGCTTTCTTCCTAGGGTGTGTTTATTTCACTTCAGATACGTGGGCAAGAGGAATATTGCCAGGTACTGCCTTCCTCCATCAGCTGCCAGGGTGTGGGTGCTGTCCCGGTGCTCCCTGCCACAGCCGAGGCAGGAAGGGCGCATGCACACCCACGCTGGGCAAACCCTAGCTGGCAGGAAGCCCGTGGGGCCGGGGCTCTGCTCAGCACTGTGCTGTGAGCAGGGGCCCTGCATCTCAGCACCCTGCCCCTTCCCTCCCCTCCAGCTCCTGCATGCGATCCCCAGGCCCAGGCGAGCGCAGGTTGGCAGTGTCCCCCCCAGCTGGCTGCAGGTGAGACACGAGTCACAGCTCCCTCCCTGCTTCCCGAGCAGCAGCACTGCTCTTGCAGTAGCTCTAGGGCCGTCTGGAGCAGGCGAGATCATCGTAGCCTGGTCAGTCCCACTGGGATTGTCCAGGATAAACCAGATCAGTGTGTTGGAGGGAGGAGGTCTCCATCCTCGTGCCTCATGTAATCCTATAGCGGTGTGGCCGCTGTTGCTGGTCCAAACCCGCAGTGTTTGCTTCCCCTTGCAGGGTGCACGATGCCTGGTTATCCAAGCACACGGCAGCAGACAGGAAATCCCAGACGATGCCAGCGCTCCGCAGCAGAGCCGGGGTGCGGCTCCAGCATCTGGGCAGCTTGGAGACCTCCTTCACACTCAACCACAGTACGTACAGCACGGTGGGATGGGTCTGTGGAGCGTTAGCCTGATGAAAATTCCATGCAGCCATTTTCCACTTGCTGCTTGTTGCTTCAGGATACTCAAACTCTATGGAGTTACAGTGGTCACCACTTCTTCCTGCAACATTCCTAATTGGGTGGGGGTGATGTTTAAGCCAGTCCCCTAAAAATCACTGCTGGGACTTAGGACTTGTGTGACTTTTTCCTCTTGCCTGTCTTGGCTCAGCTTCTTGGCTGAGTGTGTGTGCAGGCAACACCTTGGTTTGGGTAGTGAGCAGGGCAGGCAGGAGAGCTGCCCTGCACAGACCTGTGCTGGAATCTGCTCTCAGCCGTTCCATGTGGGTTAATTTTGTCCCATTGAAACACTTTGCCATTTCCCCTTCGTGGAGGCAACTTGGACAGCTCATTGTCTGTCTGGCTTTAAAGACAGTGATATAAAGGGGTAATACTGATACTGGTTCTCTCTCTTGGCATCAGGCTGAGGCAGCTTCTCTGAATGGAGCTGGCAAATTCAGCATCTTGCTATTCTTGCTTTATCTCCCAAACCCAGTGAAGTGCAAGGGGAGAACCTTGTCTATATCCGCATTTAGATCTTGTGGGAGTTGGAGTGTTGAACACTGTTTCCTCCTGATTTTCTCTTTGCCCACAGATGCAGGCACCTCAGAAGCAGATATTGTGCACCAGGCATTACTGGAGGGCAATATTGCCACCGAAGTGTGCCTGACAGTCCTGGACACCATCTCTTTTTTCACTCAGAGTTTCAAGGTCAGCACTGAAATCAAAAATGTTGTAGAAAAGTGTGCTGTATTTCTGTTTTTGTGTGGATTTTGGTGATCAGTTCTCCTAGAGTGGAAGAATATGGAAGGCTTTACAAAAGCAAATCATTTGCAGCTTGTTTATTTTTCAAAACTCTGAGTGTTTCACAGGGTCTTAGAGTAATTATACCCTTATGCAATCTTGCTGTTTCTTGAAAACTGCAAGATGTTATACCATGACTGTAAACATTACAAAAATAGAATAAGAGGAAATGTACATCATGTAGAAGGGAGGACTAGAGGAAAGGGAAATGAAGGTTCAGCATTTTTAGAATGGTCACTCTTTTCTGCCATGAATTCCTAGAAGCCAGTCCCAAATGTCTTTGAATCCCTTCACCTTAATGTCACTGGGGCTGAGGCATTCCTGCTGTGGTTACCAGTGCAGATAGGACCAGTACCACCATATGAATCATCCTTCATATGATGATTCCTGCTCCTGGCAGTCACTGCCATCTACAAAAACCAAAGCCTCTGTGGTGGAGAGAACCCCAGACTGGCAGCAAAATACTGAAATACTGTTCTAGAAGTGCTCTTCCCAAAATGTAGTCATAGGAATCCTGTGTGTAGCAATGTGTCTGCATAATGTCACAAGAGCAACTCTGGATTTCAAAGCAAGCATGATAAAGATTTCCTTTTTAGATGAACTGAACAACATGAAGAGTAAGTGCTTCATAGCCTCTGCTTCTGTTGCAGAGGCTATGAAAAAAAATGCCATCCTGGTGTATACATTAATTACTCCTTAGAATTTCGGTAGCAGCAAAAGGATTTCAATGATGCAAGGGTTAAAACTTGCTTGACTTTCTCAGTTGCTTTTTTTTTTGAATATGGCCGAACTGCAAAACAATGTGATTTTCAAACCACAGGACAGACTGGATTCCCTTCCGCTTTAATGGGCTTCTGCTTCACTTTTATGGTCACAGGGTGTTCCTGCACAGAAGTGGGCTCTGTGCTGCTCTTGCTGCCAGAGCAAATGAGCTCAGTGTAAAAGTCTGGATCCTAAACTTACCCTGTGACAAGGTGTGTACAAAGTGTCAAAAGACAAGTAGCTCCATTTTACCATATCTCCAGATGATGCAAACGGGCAAAGTTTGCAGGGAACAAGGGAAGTGTACTGGTTTCCTACAGCTATGAATCTACCCAGTGAAAAGATGTGATAGTCTTTTTTGTTCTCTCTCTCTTTTGGGCTGCAAATGAAACAATTTTCAAGGCAAATAAAAAGAAATGGAAAAAACACAGTGTGATAGTTATGTTGTTAACAGTATGTTTTATTTAAAATAACTAGACAGTCAGTGAAAGTTGTACAGGTTATTGACTTAGGTTTTGGAATTAGTGATGCAGAAGTGATAAAATATTTTTGTTTTATTCTCTGCTATAAAAATAGCCTCTGACTAACTACTGTAGGTTTGTAGTGATCGTCATATTTTATTGGTTGTACTTTTACTGAAGGCCCTGTTCCTTTTCTGGCTTAAGAATTGATGTGATTAATTATGCAAAATTATCTCTGTTATTTCCAGCTTCAGGCACAACATTTCTATGAAGTAAATTCTCTCATTGCTTTACAGACCCAGCTTTTAAGCAACGATGGCCACAATCCACTTATGAAGAAGGTTTTTGATATTCATCTGGCTTTTCTCAAAAACGGGCAGTCAGAAGCAGCTCTTAAGCATGTGTTTGCCTCTCTGAGAGCTTTCATTAGCAAGGTATGTAATACATGACAATAAGGGTGTAGGAGAACTTATAGGTATGGCAGAAAAGGCCAGTATGCTTAAACTCCTAATATTTTGGAGAAGTGTTTTAGAAAACCATTTAACCTGGGCTGTTTTTTAAGTCAGTGAAGTCCTCCAGTTATTTATTATTTGGTGGATATCGGGAAGCAAAGGGAAAAATAGAAATCATGAGGAGTTCCCTCACTTGCCTTGGTCACAAAGATTAGCCTCTGTTCAACCAAAAGCTGGTGCTTGAGTCTTTGCCCCAAACTAACTATGCTGACAGTGCTATTGCTTGAATAATACTTGCTCTGACAGGTAGCTCCTCACCCACTGGATTTGAAAGAAGGTAGTACTTGCTGAACCTCTTTCTGTGCTTTTCTGAGCCCTGGTAGGCAGTGAAGCTGTTTAATCCCCCACGCTCAAGCAGTGACAAAACCACAGCAAACTATGAAAGACCAGTGACTGATGCTATGAAAAAAGCAGTGAGTGATGACATTTCCCCTTGTGCTTGTCAAAACCTGCCACCTCTCATAAGTACGTCTTCAAGACCCAGTGTGAATGCCATTCCTTCCAAGCTGCACAGTTATCATGAATGCAAAGTTAATTAAAACCTCTCAAATCCCGTGGACACAACACTTCATTAATGAGGAAAATCCATGTGGTGGGAGATTGCAGCCAGGCAGAGCACAGTATGTGAGTGATAAGCAGCAAATGGTAACTTCCAAAGGAGCTCTTGCACTAGGTGCTGAGCAAAGTCTGATTAAATAAAGAGGCTGCTAAACTGTTTTTCAGAGGTGGAAAAAGTCTGTGCTATGTATGTTTTACTATAACCCCACAGCAAAACTGAGAGCTAGTTTGAGTCTAGGGCTGAATATTGGCTTGTGCTAAGCAAACATGTGAGAAGAAGAAATGCAGAAGTCTTGCTGGCTCCCTGTCTGGCTCCAGACATTGTGATCTTCTGCAAGGTGTTTTTCCATGGGGTTTCTTAAAGCCTGCTAGTTGGCAACTGGCAGTGGCAGGAATCGCTCAGTTTTTCTGCAGGGTCCAGTGCATGTTTACAACTCTACCTTTCTGTTGAGTTTTCTGTGTGCCTGTGATCTGTGTAGCCTCGAGGTCCATCCTGATGCAGATGTGCACACACCCCACCTTTCCTCTTAATAGCCAAAAGTTTGTTTAGCCAGAAATATTTGTTCTGTGCCTATAGCAAATAAGAGACATTCCTTGCCTTCCCGGCGCATTTTCTGGGAGTTTTTTTAAAATGTGAAGCCAAACCTGCACACCTGCTCAGTTTGATCTCACTGTCATCCTTCAAAGCCTGGAGCCCCTCAGGGGTTCCACACTTGCTTTCCAAAATGCCGATGACAGCAAGGCAGGCTGCGTGCTTGGCTACTGCAAGGATGGGCAGTGGGATTGTTTTCTTGGATTTATGCCAGCCTCAATCCATGCTCAGTTTGGCATCATGGGTCTTTAAAGATATGAAAGATTGATTTCAGCTAATTTCTCACATTTCCCCTATAACAGGACACGGGTTGCTTCTGTAAGAGCAAGATATGAGCCCAGCAGATAGTATCTATAAGGAAGTGCTTTCTTTGCCAACTCCATAACCACACAAGTCCCAAACTTCCTTCTAAGTCCTCTCAAGGGTTCTTTTAAGGGCTAAAGTGGTGGGGGAGGAGAGTGTGGGTCGTCACTGCACTTCGTGACAAGTGCAACGATAGAAAGTGTTCCTGCAAGTTTGTTTTGAAGTACGAATGCTGCTTTGTAACTCCAAGAAAAGCAAAAGTGAGTTGTGCCTTTGACAGGGTTAGAAAGGACATTTTGTCATTTTTATGGCCTTCTATGGTAGCTCTAATTACAATGAAAAAAAATCCCCCTCTTATCTGGGGTCACAGCAAATGGTTATTGGAGGGAAAAAACCTTCTGAGATTTATTCCACATCCCAAAATCTGTCTTAGAAATAGCTTTCTTTCTACATTACATCTGGTTACTGGATAGGGAAAAGACCTTAAAAAAAATAATAAAAGATGTTGCAAGAAAGCAAAGAACAAAATCTTTCTATAATTGTTTGCATCTTTAGTTTTGGTTTTAAAATGAATCCCACTTGCATGCGTGTGTGCTGGGAATGCAGGAAGAAAGCTGACTGTTTTACCAGCTGGGAAGAACCAACAAAACTAGACCGTTCTGGTTTCATACTCCAGGTTTTCTTAACAACTGATTCCTTCTGTTCAGAGCATCACTTACAGATAAATATACACATACATGCTTGGGAATGGTTTTAAATTAAAGGTTATAAAGGAAAACATACACAGAGGAGTGGTCTGCCTTAAAGAGCAGCTCAAACACGTGGATGTGAATCATGGAAACCCCACGTCCTGCCTGCCACTGTGGCTGTCCTGCCCTCACATCCCCTTTGTGCTGAGACCTCTCTGGGAGCTGGTTGCTGTGTTGACTCCTGCTCTGGTCCATCATATTAGGGCTGAATCAGAAATGGGCTCCTCCAGTGTTCACAGTCATCACACATGGGCCATTTCATGCTCTTTCCAGTGTTTTCTCTGGCCACAGGCAGCACCTGGCCAAATCTCCAGCAGGGATACACCCATGGGTCTGCTGCCCTGAACCTGGCACCAGGAGCCACTGCTGTGGCCAGCTGTGGGCTAAACCCAGTGCTGAGCATGACCCCATCTCGCTGTGGGGGAAGGACTGCATTACAATGAGCAGCAGTTCCTTAGGAGCTCCTTTCCTGAATGCGCACAAGATCCTCGTGGCCCTGCCTTACTATGATATTTATTTGCGTCTTTTCTTTCTCCTGTTTTTCTTCTGAATATGTTTTTGGCTAGAGGCAGTGAACATCAAAGTATTTCATGTCTTCATTCTGGTTTTTAACCTCTGTGTGTGTGTGTGATCCCAACAGTAGTCTTGCCAGCCACAGCTCCTAGATTCCTGTTTTGAGACCAGTATGGCCACCATTATGCCATGATGGTGGCCATGGCAGTACCCTACAAGCTTTCCTGGAACATATATACCTAATGCAAGGAGTAGAGGGCCACAGTAACAGCTCCAGGCTCTAACTGGAGGATGTGAGTGAATACTCTGACAGTATTTACTGTCATCTCCCATGGGCAGGAGGTAGTGGGGCAGATAGAAGTGCCCCATGAGCACCACTGGCTCTTGAACAAACTGAACACGTCAATCCTCTGAACAGGGAAACACAGTTGCCTCTTTGTGCCAGGAAATTCCTTGGGGCTCATTGCCAGCTGCAGCAGGAAGGAGCAGAGTGCAGAAGGAGCCGAGTGTTGCTGTGCAATGCCCAAACAGCCTCCACTGCCTTGAGGAAGTGCTGGCGTCACCCCTCTCCCTGCAGAGGCGGCTGCGTGCCAGCACAAAGCCCTTCCTTGTTCTGCTTCCCTGTGCCCAGACCACTGTGGCTGGGGTGGAAGGAAGCTGAGTGTGGTGCTCCCTCCCCTCCAGCCACCACTCATGACCGCAGCCAGTGGGACACGCACTGGCATCCCCAGCTCCAGGAGCCCTGGAGGCTGCTGCCCACTGACCCACTGCATCCATCTGCTTTCCAGACATGGCTGAGCTTGCCCCCACAGCTGTGCTCAGCAGCAGGAGTTTGGTGAGGGCACAGATGTGCCACCAGGGTCTTCCCCGTCTGCTTCCCTTCCCCCTGCTGCAGGTCTCTTTACCCTGCTGCTGACTGAGGGAGCTCACACTGTGGTTTGGCTTGGTCCTGCTGCTTCCTGGGGCAGGCTCCATCTGGGGGGCCAGGGCAAGTCACTGGGCTCTCAGGGACAAGCCAGTCTCTTGTTTGCATTCCTGAGGGTGCGCAGGCATGATTTTAGACTTTTTTGGGGGGTGGAAGTAGCTGTGCAAGCATTGCACATCATGTTTCCCGGAGAGGTCGGACTCCTGGATGGGTTCTGATGGATCTTCTGATGTTCCATACAGCAGCCTTTGGTGGGAATGTCCATGGGACCTCTCCTCTCTGCTCCACTATTGGTGTTTATGGCTTTTGTAAGAACATAACACTTCTATCCAATTTGGTGAGCATTTTCCAAAAACCCAAATATTATCAGCAGGTGGGTTAGATGGATGTATGCAAACACATCCCCAAGAAGTCTGACAGCGAAGTTCACATTGCTCTAGGAAACGTAGTTAAAAAACAGGCATCAAATTCATTCCCACAAATACTTTCAGACTCAGAATACTGGCAGAAGTTTTACTGAGGCTGACCAGGCTCAGTGTGTTGTCCTGTGTTCCTCCCCATCTGAGCCTTGTGGGTGCCATTTAGTGGTGTATTTTCTAATATTTGCATGTTTCTCGTGAAGTTTCCCTCAGCATTTTTCAAGGGAAGGGTGAACATGTGCGCTGCCCTCTGCTATGAGATCCTGAAGTGTTGCACTTCCAAGGTGTCCTCCACAAGGAACGAAGCCTCTGCTCTTCTGTATCTCCTGATGAGAAATAATTTTGAGTTCACCAAAAGGAGAACATTCCTGAGAACACATCTTCAGGTTAGTGACTTGAGAAAAACTAGAGAGCAGCATGCCTCAGATTTAATGAATAGTTACAGCAATTGTCACCTCGTGTCTGCAGAGGATCTTGCTGTTACCATATGGACAAAAATCCCCTTTCCAGTGACTGGCCCAGGCAGCTTTGGGTAAAATATACTGCAATGAAGTACTCCAAGCTGTTGAATTTTTAGAGTCTCAGACAGAAGACACATCTCTGCCCCAGAGGCTGACTGGGATGAGGTGGAAAGGACAGCTGTCTTTGAGGCAGGAAAAGCTCTTTTTTGACATTGGTACTTTTTGAAGCAAATTTAGATAACCTAGTGGGACAGATGAATACCCTCCAGGTTGTAATGAATCACAGAAGAAGGTAGCTAACATACAAACAGGAGTTTGTATTACAATTGTTGGGTAGTTCTGTTCAGCAAAGCAGTTTGGACCTCTGGGAGTATTTGTCCTTGGGAGACCTGCCAGCAAAGGCACACCATCTGCTTACCAATGCTTACATTGTGGGAAGGATGTGATGTTTTCCTATGAGCATTTTATTAACTGTGACAATAAAACTCGTTAGGGCTCATTTAAATAAAGCCCCTGCTCTGTCCCAACAGATCATAATTGCAGTGAGCCAGCTGATAGCAGATGTGGCACTTAGCGGTGGGACAAGATTTCAGGACTCTTTGCTCATCATTAACAACTTTGCAAACAGCGACAGGCCTATGAAGGTGAGTTGAAGGTGTTACATCCCATCTTGTGCTATCAGCAAGGCTGGGGACAGACTCCAGGAAGCCATGATTAAGGGTAGGGCTAATGATTGGAAGTGTAATTTAGGGGCTCATAACGGGCTGCATTTGCTCAGTGAACTGAAGTGTTATGCCAACAGCAGCAGGGCCAGCTGCTCAAGGCAGGTCATGCTCCGTCTGTGAGGCCTCACGCCAAGGGGAGGGAGCTCAGGTTGTACTTTGCAGTGTGCTGCTTGCAAGGGTGTCCAAAGAGCTTTCCAGGAACTTCCAGCTTTGAGAAAAATGACAAGGGAGGGTCTGATACTTCTGTTGCCTGAAGGTCATAATTAGCAGGAATTAATTTTAATTAACTGAGCGTCAGTAACCTTAAGAAAGCACTCTTATGGAGATTACTGGTTGTATTTATTTAGAAAATTACTGTCTGTTTTTACCCAGCCCACTGAGCAATTGCAGCTTCCTTCATTGCACACAGAGTAGCTGCCCAGGTAGGATAGGGGAAAATGGGAAGAGTCTTTACAGTTCCATGACTATCCTATGACCTAAAAGTGGGATGGTGTTTGACTGTGATATAAAAAATTTATAGCTAGGATATTCCTGGTAAAAATCTCAGTTCTTTTCTGTGCACAGATGTTGATAAGGGTTTCACTGAGCCATACTTTGCTGCTCATAATTTACATCACGAGATGATCATTATACTCAGTTTATGTTTAAGTGCAAGGGTCATTTCAACACACTGGAGAGGGTGCTATGCACAGCTAGAGCAACAGCTAGGGAGCAGGAGCAAGGAAAGGGAATGTAATCCAGGCTCATCACGGAGGAGGGAAAGCTGAGGGGGGACCTAACTGCTGCTTTCCACAGCAGGCAGGTTATAGAGACAAGGTCAAGCTCTTCTCAGAGGTGTGGAATGCAGGACAAAAAAAAATGTGCATGTTGCTGCAAGGACAATTCCAGCTTTACTTAAAGTTATTTCCTAAGCACAGCCCTGGAACAGGGCTCAGAAAGAAAGTGGGATTTCTGTCATAGGAGATTATAAAACCTGGCCGGGCAAGCCTTGCTTTTACTCAGTGATGGCCCTGCTCTGAGCACAGAACCAGATCCGAGCCTTTGTTTCTTTCTCTATTGCATTCCTGTGGTGGGGAGCTCTCCGGATGCTGTCAGTGCTTTAGGAATTGAAGAGTGACCACATCAGAGCCTAACAAGCCAGATGTTGAATAACATGCAAAATACTGGAGGCATGGTTTGCGGTCCCATCCAGGGACATTTGCATGCATGGAGCATTTCTGTATTGCTCCCAGACCAGTTCCTCAGGATGCCAAAGTACCAGACTCACTGTATCATGGGAACAGCCAACCTGGCATCCTGCACATGACCTGGAGAGACTGGCCATGTGTGTGCCACAACTGAAATGCCTCTAATTGTGTATGAAACACTGTACACTGTATGCAGCGTGAGCTCAAAAAGGAACAGTTAATTAGTCTTATCTCCCATGTTCTCAGCGGTTTCAGATTGGCAGTACATGGATTGTTTGCTAAAAGGTTAGTGACAGTCTTTCCTTGGCAAAGCCTGTATTTTCTGTATTATCTTCTAATTAGATTTGTTTTGTGTCAGGCAACTGCTTTTCCTTCTGAAGTCAAAGATTTGACAAAGAGAATCCGCACAGTGCTTATGGCTACTGCTCAAATGAAAGAACATGAGAAGGATCCAGAAATGCTGATTGATCTGCAGTACAGCTTAGCCAAGTCTTATGCAAGTACCCCAGAGCTCCGGAAAACATGGTTGGACAGCATGGCAAAGATCCACGTGAAAAATGGAGACTTTTCAGAGGTAATTCATGTAATTAAAAACATGGTGCGCAACAAAGACAGATTTTCAGATGACATTTTAATAATGTCCCTTTGTACTTTGCAGGCAGCCATGTGTTATGTTCACGTAGCAGCCCTTGTTGCAGAGTTTCTGCACAGGAAAAGTAAGTGTCTACTCTTTGGGAGGCACAAGGAGGATGATGCAGTGAAGGGGTTTGAGGGGATTGGAATATTTTTAAAGACAATTTTCTCTCAATTTGGTAAATAATTATTTTAGAGACAAGCTAAAAAAGAAAATAAATAATGCAATGGATAAAACTAGAAGATTACGAGTATTTTTTAAGAAAGGAATACAATTGTTCATATTCTGGCATTTTCTAGGCTGGCCAGGTCTACTTAGACAGCCACGTTGTCATGGTGCTGAGTGAAATAAGAACTGACACATCATGCCTTTGTTTAAAAGTTCACTTGTATTTTACAGTAGGAAATGGGCTCACAGGGGAAGCCCGTGTTGGAAACTGATCGTCAGAAGTACTACTATAGGCAGCACAGAAAACTATAGAATAAAGCAGTCAAAATTCAGTCAAGAAATGAGACTGTAGCCAAACTATGCACATATATAAAGAACAATGAGAAAAAAAGGAGAGTGTTGTGGTTTAACGCAAAACAGGAAGGAAGGACAGACTCGTGTGTTCTCAAGGTACACCACATTGCAGATTTTCTTTTAAATATCTGTTCCACGGTTGATATATTGGCTCCATTTCATATTTTCATGTAAGGGATTAATTGTTGAAGGGGACCCTTAACTTTTCAAAAAGTTAAGGCTGCATAAAACCTAGTTAAATGCACTGCCTTGGCTGGGAAAATCTTCAGTACCCTGCTTAGGAGGCTTGGAGTCCCTCCAAATTCTCTACTTAGTGTTGGCTATTTGGTTTTGTCTGCTGCAGAACTCTTCCCCAGTGGATGCACTGCCTTCAGGAAAATCACTCCCAACATTGATGAAGAAGGTGCAATGAAAGAAGATGGTGGGATGATGGATGTACATTACAGTGAGGTGAGGTCCTGTGCTATAGACTGCAGGATATTTGATGGCTGGTTAGGATTTAGTTTTAGACATTGTTCATGTGAGCTCTAACATAAATTATAGCATGCACTGGCATCTGTAAAGAAGACTGATGCACTGCAATTTCCCAAGAGAAATCTGCACTGAAGGATTTGCTGTGTATGATTCAGAAAGGCAAAACTGGTGTAAGTTCTTGATTCCTATGAAAGGCTTTTCGAACACCGAGACTGAAAAAGCTGCACCACAACCTTTGCCTCCTCTGTTATGCAAATCCTGATTCTGCCAGCACAGGGCAGTGCAGCTGGGCATGGTATTTCCAAGGAGGGATAGAATGCAAGTCAACTTACATTGCCCTTGAGTTAGGGCTGTGCTGCAGGACAGCATGTTAGCAGAACAATCCAGAAACCATAGCAGGGCACTGGGGAAGTGGGTAGATCCACCCATGAGTCATAAAGTCTCACAGTTACTTCTGCACCGTAGCTGTACAACTACATTGGGTGGGCCACACGTGGCTGAGCGAGGTGGCCCTGCAGCCCAGCTGCCCACTCCTCAAAACTAAGCTTGAGGGTCCTCAGCATCACATCCCACTGCTGTTGCACATACGTTGTTTGGACATGTTTCTTAGACATACACCTCTGACTCCCAGTGCTGTCATCTCTGTATTTTCCCAGAGTTTTGGCATTCTCCTGAGGAGGTAGCTAAATAACCAGGACATACTTGCTGGCTATTGTGCTAACAATTGTTAAGAATTAATGAACTTTGTAAAAATAACTCATACTTTTTCTTCCCCCCCCCGCCCCCTAAAATTTAGAATACTTTTAGAAAGACCGGGAACACCCAGAATTTAAACTTAATTTCTTCTTAACTTAAACTGTGGCTACTTATCCTGGGACCCAATAAAGTATCTGAAGTTAAAGTGGCTTTCTTTTCTAACTTTGACTGTTATTAACATCACCCATTTGGTTGCTCTTGTAGGAGGTCCTGGTGGAGCTGCTGGAGCAGTGTGTAGATGGCCTGTGGAAAGCAGAGCGTTATGAAACAATTTCTGAAGTTTCCAAACTGATCATTCCTATTTATGAAAAGCGGCGGGAATTTGAGGTGGGCATTTTGAATAGTTTACATATAGCAGGTAATTTTCTAGATTGCTTCATTGCTGGTCATTAAAGAAATTAGTGAAAGCAATGGTCTGAGAGGTAATTATCAAAGCTAAGTTATGGGAGACTCATGTTTAGTGAATAATTCCCACCTTCCTTCCCCTAAAATAAAACTTATCATCCCATATGCTCCTCAAAGCTGGATTCTTTTTGAGACTTGAGGTTCTTAAGGGTTAAAAACAGAGTGAGAACTCTTCAAAGGACTAGATCTGTAGGTAATTCGGTGGCAAGTGGAGAGGAAGGAAGGAAGTTGTTACCAGCCCTCTGCCTTGCTCCTTCCCAGCACCTGCTGTGACCTGTGCTTTGGTGAGGCTGGGCCTCGGCTGCTGAGTAGTGTTGCCCTTTCCCACCCTCTGCCATGACCCCTTCCACATCAGGACAGCATCCAAATATAACTGAAGCTAGGGAAAGTCTTGCCTTGATCTGTTTGTTTTTTTTCATTATAAAGCTGTTTTTAATCAAAAAAATGCTTCCTGCATAAAATATTGCAAGCTTCTCTACTTGCAAAAGCCGAGTCAGGGGACACGCTGGGACAGTGCACTCAGCCTACTCTCCAAGGGTAGTGGCTTTACTGCAGTCTGTGGTACCTTGCAGACCTGACACTAAGCATGTACTTAAGGCAGGTTTTTCAAGCAAAACTGCATGAGTTCAACCTCTTTGGAAATTCAAGTTTCGATTCTCCAAAGGATTGTGTTCAGATATCTCAGTAGCTTCCGGTGTTAACTAGAATGTCCTACTTGCAAAATCCTGTTTTAACAATGTCAAAATCTTATTTCCAGAAACTTACTCAGCTGTACAGAACGCTCCATGGAGCATATGCTAAGATACTGGAAGTAATGCACTCAAGGAAGAGACTCCTTGGAACCTTTTTCAGAGTGGCCTTTTATGGACAAGTAAGTATATCCACTGGCTTGTCAGCTACCCCTTACCAGGCATCCTGGTAGGCTTTTCATAAAACAACTCAGCAGTTAGGAAATGGCTTACTAGGTTCAGAAAACACTGGGGTATTTTTGTAACTATAGTTATAAGTTACACAGTTTAATGTGTATAGTATATAACTGCTAACAGTATATATAACCATAGTATATAAAAAGTAGTAGTAACAGACATTTTTTTTCTGCAGACAGTCATTGCTCCCTTCTAGATATTAGTAGAGTAAATGGTTATGGGAGAAGATGGAGACAAAACATGTATCAGTGTTGGTTACTCATGTGTAGAGATAGAGAGTATTTCTGTTAGCTGAGGTAGCTGGAAAACTGAACAAGATCTGGGGCTTAGAGTCCCAGGAAGAGGCATGATCTTATCATATCTGATGAAGTCTTCTGAGCTTGAAAGCAGTTGTGGTTTTGGGGTTTTTTTAATTCCACCTGTAGAAGTTAATCTAAAGTATGATACCCTCATGTCCTTCTTGTCTCTGAACAACCTACTTCTGCTTGTGAACCCATAACTGTGGGGGACATACAGGACCCCTCTTTAGAAAACCCTATGGAAATTAAATTAGCCTTGCTTTTTCCTCATTCCTTCTTTTAGAGAAGATGATAAATACCATTGAAACCATCATGGGTTTGTACCTTTGAACACCACTCTTACTCCACACAAAACATATTGAAGCATTGCCATGCTGCATTTGCTGCAGCAGACATACATTTTACATTTGTCCTCCTCTTATCCACAACTTTGGATATGTAAAAATTAAATATTTAAGGTCAGCAAAAGATAAAAGACAACAACTGCAAGGTTAGTTTTCCAGAAGCTGTGGAAATAACTGGACTAGCCCCTAAAATTAAGCTGTGTAACATGTCATCCTGACAATCAATACTTGATCCAGTTTTGTACTTTAAAGCTTTGCTGGCTTTTTATTCCAGCTACCCACAAATAGTTTTAACACTGTGTCACAACTTCTGACTGGAATAGCTTGCCAAAGTGTGAAGTTTTCATGCTGTTTCCATTATGGGGAGGACTGGTGATGCAAGCACAACCTTTGATGCAGTTTTGTCTTTACTTACAGTAAATACACCAAGTTCCACTTCCTTGAATACAAGAGGAATTAAAGCAGAGAAAATCTATTTTTTTTTATTGCTTGAAGTCTCTCACAGTCTACACAAATTCCTTAATTCCAGACTTTTCTTATGGCTCTGCTGTCCTCAACTTAATTATCTTTCAGCTCCTTCTCTGTGCCTTGTTTTTATGGGTTTTTTCCCATTTGTCTCTTTCCAATCTTCCAAAAGGTCACGTGCTGGCCAAACCATCTTCCATATTGTTTAGATTTCTCACTGATTGTACTCAAGCAATGACATGTTATGTTTGGGTTGGTTGAGGAATTTTATGGGGCTTTTTAGACACTAAGTTTTGAAGGAACCTATTAAACAACCTGAGTTCAGAGAGACTTTATGGGAGCCATAGCCTTACAAACCTTCTTGGCTTTCTGAAATGTTAGTAGAAACTTACTATCCAAGTAGCAAATCTAAGATAAAGTTCTCCAAATGAAGGAACACAGCTATTCCTCACTACTTCACTATTTTATTTTTTTTGTGTTTAATGCAAGACGTTCTTTGAAGAAGAAGATGGGAAGGAATACGTCTATAAGGAACCCAAACTGACAGGCCTCTCAGAGATCTCCTTCAGACTTCTTAAGCTTTATGGAGAAAAGTTTGGGTCAGAGACTGTAAAGATTATCCAGGATTCTAATAAGGTAGAGTTAAAGTGCATGAACAAGCTAATGAAATGCTGTTAGCAGAAATGCTGTTAGGGTGAACTTTGCTGTGTGGGGCTGAAGAAGGAAGTTGACAGAGCATCCCTTCCTTCTGCCAGTAGGAAGGGAGGAGCAAGCCCTCTCCTCCACCCTCTTGCAAGCACCTTGCTTCCAGTGGCCCCTCGCATCCTCCTGCTCCAGTGTGGACATGCTGGCACAGCTTGACAAATTTTGGTGCTGCTCCGGCTCCTGGGTGGATGGAAACAAGTCAGTTGGGAATTATGAATGGGAAATTGCAATCCCTATCCCACTGAGCCTTGTTGTTGGCAGGTGTCAGAAGCCAGCACAGAGCAGCAGATGACTGGAAGCAGAGTTACTTCTTGTTGCTTTGACACTCCAAGTCTAAAAAAAGATCTTTTTGGGCCTTGCAGCCATAGCTCCTTCTCTTTCACATGGAATACTTATTTATGCTCCCTGCAAGGGCTGTTCACACCCTTAGGCTGCAACTGCAGATTTATCTGGGTTAGCAAAGACAGCAGTGGTGATCCCAAACCTGGCTTAGTGCAAGCCTGCAGATTTGCTTGTCCCAGCACAGCACTGTATGAGCATTGGCTTGTGCTCCAAAAACTTTATGGTCATATTAGAAGGACTAAGTAGCTCAGGCATGTGCTGCATTGATGGATAAGGTGATATGACTGCCTGCTCAGGAGCAGCTGGTTTGGCACCATATGACATGTTTCTTGTGCCACACCTCCTTGTCTTGTGTATCTTGTAGTGGTCTAGACATCCCAGCTGAGGTCAAAAGGAGCATTTGATGTGTCACTAATCTGCATGCAGGCTAGGTCAGCAGGGAATTAGTTTAAATCAGATCCCAATATATAAATTAGCCAACTGTAAGTTATTAACCTTTGCTCTCTTTGTGAGTAACCCACAGGTCAACATTAAAGACCTTGATCCTAAGTATGCCCATATTCAAGTGACTTATGTGAAGCCCTATTTTGAAGACAAAGAAATCTCTGAAAGAAAGACTGAATTTGAAAGAAATCATAACATCAATAGATTTGTATTTGAAACTCCTTACACTTTATCTGGAAAAAAGCATGGCAGTGTGGAAGAACAGTGTAAAAAAAGGACCATTCTAACTAGTAAGTACAAACATCTGATCATGAGACAGTATCAGCAACTATTTTGAAACTATTTTAGCTCATGAAGATATCCCAGAAGAGTAAGAAGTTCTCTCAGCTTAATCAGAATTGTGAGATGATATCCTGGTTAGGAGGGCTAATTTACCTTGTGTTTTTATGTTCACATTTTTCCAAATTGATAAATTGTGCTGGTAAATTATAGCCTTGTTTGAGATTTCACACACACCAAATAAATCCCTAAGAGCAAGAATCTGCTTGTATATATTCTGCGAAGAGTACTCCTATGTGCTACATGACTTTTCGACCTATAAATTTCTTTTGCTGTTTCTGCTAGCTTCCAACTCCTTTCCCTACGTAAAGAAGAGAATTCCAGTCAATTATGAACATCAGGTTAATTTAAAACCAATCGATGTTGCTACCGATGAAATAAAAGACAAGACAGCAGAGCTGCAGAAACTCTGCTCTGCTGGTGACGTTGACATGATCCAGCTGCAGCTCAAATTGCAAGGCTGTGTTTCTGTGCAGGTGAGTCTGTCTGATGTCTGTTCAAAATTGTGTTTATATACACAACTCAGGGTGAGCCATCTAGTCATGACACAACACATTGACTTTCCAGAAATCATTAACTACCCGGCTTGCAGGGCTGAGCCATCAGCCTGCCAGCTCGGCTTCCCTGTAGCTTCGCTGCTGCATTAGCAGGAGGCTCATGGCAATAAACACTTTCTCCAGTGGTGTTTACAGTGTCGAGTCCAAGTAATTGCCCATTAGTTGGCCGTGGGTGACTGCTGAAATATACTTAACTCTTGAACATTGCACTGCAAGTATCAGGCACAAATAGCCTTTTTGCAAGCCTGACTTCTCAAGCTGGTTAAATGACCTTAGGACTCGGATCATTCTGCTCTTCCAAACGGAAATAAAAGGAAAGTATGAAGAAACAAATTTAATCTCTCTTTTTATCTCCATTTATCTTTTGATCTTAGAAAATGTAGATGGAAAAATACTCAACCTTTGAAACTTTCAGTGTCTCTGATGACATTAGTAATGCAGAGTTGATGGCATTCAAATAGCTAATGTTGGGTGGGTTTTTAAAAAAAATTGTTATTCTTTTCACAAATGCCTTTAGCAACTCAGCAGAAGTTCTAGCATAAATGATTTTTGTGATTCACCACCTCAGATTTCTTCTTTGGCTCTAGGTTAATGCTGGTCCCTTGGCCTATGCCAGAGCTTTCCTAAGTGACAGCCAGTCCAGCAAATATCCTGCTAAGAAGGTGAATGAGTTGAAAGAAATGTTCAGGTAGGATTTCTAATGTAATAAAAACTAGCTAGCTGGCTGGAACGTGGTACCTCCTTTGATTATATTTTTGTCTGTCTCCAAAATCAGCAGATGCTGTGTGTTTGATATGTTTTATAAAGATCCAAATCTCATAGGATTATGGATGCTCAGACATATGAGAAAAGCCAATGTAATTATATCTGTCAAGAGTTCTCAAGCTCAGGGCTGTGATCTTCATGGGGAGATTTACTTGAGCACCTGCTTCAACAGTTGATATGGATATTTGAGATTATCACATGAAGGAAGTACGTTTAAAAACCAGAGATCTGACAGTCCTGTCTTCAGGCATCTTTCATATTGTGCATTGCTTCCCAGTTCTTCCAAAGGGATTTTTTGCTAGATAATGATGAACTTGAAATACTTTAAAGCAAATCCTTTCCCCATTTATGGGAGACCGTTGTTCTCATTTCTGCTGCTAATTTTTGAAACTATGTGACTTGCACAGGTGTTTTTCTAATTTCTGTCCCTTAGGGTAATTTTACCTCTCACTTGAAAGTGTCCTCCAAGATATAATTAGGCAACTGCTGCTTCACCTCAGGATGACGAGTCTTTGCCACCCCTATTTTCTGAACCTCTCGGGTGGAACCAATTGTCTGCCACCCCCTGCATTTGTTACTCTGTGCTGGTGGCTCCCATTTCACTCATTAGTAATTACATGGAGAAAGCAGCTTTTGGGCCAATCCAATTCTCCTTCTGGGTATTGAGTAACCTGACAATAAGGGAGCAATCCCTGCAAACCTGCCATGCATAGATGCAGTTTTACTTTCCAGCCTTGCAGTGCAACCAGCAGGACAAATACAAACTCTGTTTCAAATGAGGTTTATAAGAAAGGAAAATATGTGTGTGAAATGAAGCAAAGAATGAACAACGGTAACCAAGAAACAGTATTGCACCTCCCCATGATCCAAACTTCCTTCTGGAGGGTGTCTCTGCTGATAGCAACCTGCCCTCTCCAGCACACTGCTGTGCCACACACCCAGCTCTGACTAGCTCTGAACAACTGGTTTCCCCTCTGTGCCTGACCATGGCCCCTCTGGGGTTCTGTGACCCCACGTGCAGCTGGTTGGGCTCATCTGGTACCTGTGAGTTGTGTGTGGTCCTGCAGGTGAGGATGTGTCCCATCTGCTGAGGATCCAGGCTTGAAGGAGCTCCAGCAGAAAGCCCCATACCTGTGTTGCAGTCCCTCCCCATTCCCTGATCCACCGGGCCAGGGATGCTCCTAGAATGCAACTTGTCCCAAACATTGGAGAAAAAAGGGTGGTGGGAAATAATGAGATTTGCCTGTCTCTTTGGTTGCTTGCTTGGTAGAAGACTAAGCTATTGTAATACCCCAAGTTCATTCCTTTCCTCCCCAGGAAGTTTATCCAAGCCTGTGGAATTGCTCTGGAGCTCAACGAGCGTCTCATTAAGGAGGACCAAGTGGAGTATCACGAGGGGCTAAAATCAAACTTTCGGGATATGGTGAAAGAGCTTTCTGACATCATCCATGAACAGGCACGTACTGCATGTCAGGAGCCCACAGAGGTGGCTCTCTGTGCTTGAAAATTAGCTAAGCTGAAAACTGAGATCTGATAGAAAACTTGATCATTCTTCATGCAGCTTTATGTAGCTAAATATAAAAAGGCAAGTAAGTGAACAAGAAAATTAAGCAATAGACTTGGTGCATTCCTAAAACTGCTTTCTGTTCACTGAAAGTCTCAGTCTGGTGTTGGTATTCAGTGTGCTTCAGGGTGGAGTCTTCGCTGACACATACCAGAGTTTCCTGGGTGACATGGTCAGCAGTCCTATGTCCTGTGTTACATCATGTTTTATACATTACAAGAGGTCACAGATCAAAATTCTCTGGCAAAAAATTTCCATTCCCTCAGTTATATCCAGGTTAAGTTACTTTTTTTTTTTAATATGTTATTTTTGCTTAAAAGGTGTTTTCTTTTAATTTTTGCCTGATGCCAACATGTAATTTATATGCACAGTTAAAATATTTCTTCTAATTTATCTGATCTATGCTTCGATTTTTCTAGGAAAATACATTTGAGTAGTAGCATCAGAGGTGAGAGATTCAAAGAGCAGTTGCACTTCTACCTAGCATCATGCTATGAAATTAGATGAAAACTGGGTTTCTGAAGTAATCTCCATACCTCTGCTCTTTAATTTTGCCTTCATTATGACAAAAGAAAGTTTGCTGTAGATTTATAATATCAAGGATATAAAATTAATGGTACAGACTGCATTGTGATTCATAGAACTTGAAATTTAGATAAATGCTTTCAGGGACTCCCAGTTAGTTGATATACAGTCCATGTGTGACTATGAATTAAAAATGCAACATTTTAAGTCACTGAAAGCAGCTAGGCAAATTCCACAGTAAGTTGAGCAGTTGTTCACAGTAATGTAAAAATGTGCAAATACAAAAAATAATACAACTGCACCAGGCTGCTATTTGTAAATTAGGTTTATTTACAATGAAATAATGCTTATGGGAATCAGAATCTTGTTATGGAAGAGTACAATATCATTTCAGGGAAACAGTCTCATGATGGGGCTGAATTTTGTTGTAGGAGCATAAGGGTGGATCTGTTTGAGAGTGACTGCTGCACCCCTCTTGCTTTTGTTAGATTTTTCTTCTATTCTTCTCATCACCACCATTTTTTTAGGGTGCAAACTACTCACTTTGCACTTGTGCCACACTATTTTTTTTCATTTGCATTACCTGCCCTGTATACTCCACTGCTGAACTTTGATCAGAGAAGCTCTTTCTTAGGAGTTGCCACCTGCTTACTCTAAGCTGTTTGCAGTAAACCTTTCCAAGACATTTAATTTGCATGCAGCTGTTGGAACTTTTGTGGCTTCTGAATTCTGCAATAGTCAAATCAAAACCAAATCACTCAGTCCTGCACTGTCACAGTACAATGGTTAAAGTTATCTTAGAATAAAGAAGCATTGTTAAAGCACACTCCCTACTGTCTCAATAGATTTACAAATCCACTGTTGTGTTGTCGTTGGTTCATGGGCAAAATATGACTGAAATGTCCAAGTGAAGGGCTCCCTGGGAAGGATATACTTTTCACTTTCTTCTTGTATTAGCTCAAAAGGCAGTTTAAAAGACCATGTTTAAAAACACTGTTCTTTATAGTTATACAACATTATGTACAACTGCTGACTTAAACTTTGCATTGCCGTCAAATGGCCCAGGTATCTAACAAATTAAACTTAATGGAACATGTTTTCCTCTTCTGCAACAAGAAGGTAAACATAAAAAGTATATTGCATAATTTGGGGTTCTCATTGCAAATAACATATGCTTTTCTAATATTGCCAGTGTCCCAAAGCAATACAACCAGTGCCCTTTGTTTGAGGTGGAAGGACAGGTGGACAACTCACGGGTCAGCCCATGACCTATCTACAGATCTTTTAAGTTAGGGAAATGTAAACATAAAAAATGGATAAACTGCAGCTGAACAGGTCCTGGAAGCTTCAGAGACTGGCAGAAGGCTGGATGTCCAGAAGCTGTTTATGATGGCCAGTGATATTAGTTCCACTAATGCAACTTCAGGCTAACTGGTGAACCACATGGTGAAAAACAAATACACAGTCAGCTCTAGCACAGCTCTGCCAGTCCAGTTAGATCCTGTGCTGTCAGACTGTCCTTCAGATTATAAAGTATAATATCTTGCCAAATGGCACAGAGCTAAAGAGTGTCTGCTGGGTTTATCTGTGTTTACCAAAAAAACTATTAAAATTCTGTTACTGCTAAGACAGAATAAAAAAATTGCTGTACAGAGAACTGTTTTTTCCCTATGGTGCATAGTTGTAACTAAAAATGATCCAGCAATATGCAGAATAGTGTATATATTAATGTTACAGAAATTGCTAAATTACTCTTCTTTCTCATTTCTTTGTTACGCTGCCTTTGCGAAACAGCTTTGAAGACAAGGTTGGGTATCTCTTTTTTGCATACCTTTTCAAACAGCTTGATTATAATAATGAGCTGAGACCTTTACTGAATTTGTGATTATTGTGTTTTGTCTAGATCTACCATGAAGATACAATGCACTCGCCATGGATGCACGACTCCCTCCATGTCTTCTGTGCCATCAGCGGAACCTCTGGTGATGGAAGTTACTGTTCACTCAGACCCACTGCTGAAATATAAACATATCAGTCATATTTTACAGAGCTTTCTCAGGAATTCTTGGAACTGTACAAAGGATGCTTAAAACCATCCATGATGAGCAAAGATTCAGTTGTGGATTTTTTGTTTGTTTGTTTGTTTGTTTGTTTCCCAAAAGGAGTTACCATGCTTTCAAACAGGGTGCTTGCTTATTTTGCTGAGCAACATTGAAAGTGCCTGGACATTGCACCACTGTGCTTGTTTTCTACTATTTTTTTTAAGCTAAATGTATAACAGGACATGGTAAGGCAGTTATCTAAATATGTATTGAATTGCTGAACTATGAATTGAAGCGATGACGTACTATGTAAAGTTGTACAATGGAATATAATAAAATGTAAAACTACTTTGTAAATAGAAGGAGTATAGAGTATATAGAAATTAGCATTGTATCATATTTGCTGCTAAAAGCTTTGTTGGCCAGGGAACATGAAGGAGAAATTGTAGTCACTAGTAAGAGACCTTCCTCTTCTAAAAAGTGACTTGGGGTCTAGACACCCCTCTTGCACTCCATGAGAGTAAGTTTGCCCTAGTCTGGAATAAATGAAAACCTAAGTCAGAAATTATAATTTTCATACATCCTCAGAACAGATGTTTTTAAAGTAATCTCCATGAAAGCTGAGCTTACTGTAACTGATTTAAATTTTGGGTAACCTTTCACAGCTGCAGGAGAGGATGGATTGTACTCACTAAGGACAACCTGAGAAATTTGTCATTTAAGATGAGTTTTCCTGTTTACCACTCATGGTCTCACACAAATATAAACTCTGAGGACACCTTAAATTGAGTTGGAAATTATAGAGTGCTTTAAAAGTGTTTGGAAAAATTCTAATAATCTGAGAGATGTAGTTTAAAAAAAAAAAAGGCAGCACATTGAAATAACTCATACAAAATTGAGGCGATTTCTTTTAGCACCATAAAACATGCATCTTCCCTCCTGTTAAACAGATCTGTTTTCTGAAAGCTTGGGTTTTTTGTCTGACATGTGGTTAGAGAAAATGTATTTTCCATAATTCTTTTATTCCTCCTTCCCCATCCCAAAGCTTGAATACATTGTCTCTTTTTAATAAGACACGTCAGATGCAGGAAGAACAACACAGAGCAGTAATCCTTTTATCTGGCAACATTTTTAACATCCATGTTTTTTCAAAATCCCATCAATCATAAATATGGTTCCAGTAGTTCATATGGGAAGAGTGGGGTTTTTTAAGGATATGTAACAAAATGCCATAATAAAAGGACTCCAGCTGGGTATTTAGCTTGGCTGTAGTGTCTATAAAATGTTAAGCTTCTAATCTTTGTAACAAAAATTATCTTCAAATAGTAGCTGGACCACATTTCAAAATGTTTGTTATGCATGATTCTAAATACCTAGAATTAATTGTCTTCTGAGAAAATAATGTTGTGATCCGTAAATTCGCCCATTAGCTGTTGCAAGCAAAATACAGATGTGCCTGTATAACAAACTGGCCACATTTCTGCTTGTATGTGCTTTTATGCCAAGCAGGCTCCAAATTTAGCATAACAGAAAGAGGAAGAGAGACTAGTGTGTTTAAATATGGTTAGCACCTTACGGATTGTCATCTTTCAACAAATAATATTTAAAGGCAGATAGTGAGAGTTTTCCAAATTTCTTTACTAGAAGGTGTTGAAGCTTGATCCAGTACAAGATTTTTTTGAGCTACTTAACCTCTAAACATCAGTACTAAGGGCATATCTTGACTGCAGTCAGCAATGATGAGACATGGACATCCAAAAGCTCTTGCACTGTAGCTCTTTGAAATACTGCAGATAACCCAGTAGTTTTCCTGGATTTGCAGTAAGATTCATATGCATGTTTTTTGATGTCTTTAATGTTCTGGGGTAACACTGTTGGCTGAATTTTCAATTTCTAATCCTTATTTTTACTGGAATTCCAGTGCAATTCGTACTCATCTCTTCAAATGTCTTCGATGTTCCAAGATGCATTTTTGTCTGAACTTCTCAAGTTGTTGTTGGTGGTGGAGTTGTCCTGACATTTTACTGTCATATACTGGAAAGCTGTCTTGGTAATTTGGCCAAAAGAAAAGTGTGTTTAATACCGGTGTGATTAGAATATATACAGTTACTACACTTCAGAATACACACTTATATGCAGTTTTAAGGAATTACAAAAATGATCATGCCGTAAGGATTTGCCTTCTGTCCTGCAGCTAAATAATTTTTCTGGTTGTTTTTTTTTTTTTTTACAGAATAATCTCATTTTTAGATGGGTTTTAAAAAGATTGGTAACAAACCAACTTGTTTTTTTTTTATGTATTCATGAATCTAGGGAGTGGCCATTAGATATTTTACAGCTGTATCTGGACAATAGAGTCAAGAAGATTATCACATTTTCTCTACCTAGACTTTTCCCGTATAATTGTTGCAGTTAAAAGAAATCCTCCAGATTTTTTTCTTATTTCAGGCTGAAATAGCTTAATTCACAGATATAGCTGAAGAGTGTACTGTATCTATGCCACTTTTATGTAGCTGGTACTCACATTGGGTACTTTCTATTTGCTGCCTTTCTGGGAACAACAGAAATGTCTATTGTTCATTATAATTTTTTTATTTTCTTATACTGCCTGAGGAATGGTGGAAGGTTTTTGGTCTGGAAAAATTAGTAGAACATATCTGAAATTACATCCGGGTATGTACTCTTTCTGTATCTCAGTGTGGCTACATCTACATATTTTATATATGTGCCTCTAATAACTTTTGCTGCAAAACTGCTGTGCAACACGTCAAGCCTTTGGGATGGATGCATTGGTAGTTTTGCTTAAAAGGCAAAGAAACAGGATAAAGTATCTCTCCATGAGGTTTAAGAGCACTTAAACCTGATACTCTCAGTATCAGGATTGGTTTGGATAATGGTATGTGCTAGAACCAGATGGTTTGCAAATAGGACATATAAAGCAACAAAGGGTCTGCCAGCATTTTATGTACAAGAACTTGCTTTTAGAGTTTTATAGAGTAAGCTAAGTATAAACATTTTCTTCTTTGACCTACTGTTTTCTCTCTGCAGAGAGATTAGAAAGTAGTATTTTAAGAAAAATAACTTCAGAGTTATGTTTCTTTCTCCCCCAAAAAACCTGGAATGAAGAACTTACTGCAGCGAAGGATGTATTTCTACATACTACTCGGTGTTCTAAATTTCTTCTGATAACAGGAATTTCCATGAGATAGGCTAACAAATGAAAATCATCATGTCACACACCTGCAGTGACATGTTTATTTTGTTCCAGAACATATGCAACCTGGTATTTAGATATAGAATAAGACTTTACATAAACATGACACCTTTTGTCTCACAGTAGGTAAAATATGCTTGTTTTCCCTTTCTCTAGAGACAGGCCCCATGTACTTCACAGCAGTCTGCAGAATAACCCTATGATTTGAGTAACTTGACCCAAAAGAATTGGAAAAAACCAGAAGTGGAAGTCATGGGCTCAAAAATCTCAGACAAATTAAACCACATCTTAATTTATCTGCTTGAGGAGAGTAGCATGTGTTGATTTGATGTTCACTGAGCTGAGTTCTTTAATAAAACAAGAGTTTCTTACTGGATTGAAGAACACTGTGTACAGCTAATTATTATGCAACCACAGACTGTGTAGAACTTAACCTTTAAATAATATGCTTGTGTCAAGCAATGGTGAACCAATTGTGATAAATACATAATCTTTTGGCTATTATGGATGTAATTAACTCCCTTCTCATGTAAATTTAACACCTGCTGCTACATATTCATAACAGAAGTGCTTCTACCGTGCGTGTTGTACAAAACATGTGTTGTATGAGCCCTGTGGAACCTCCTGTGTGTGCCGAGGAACAGCACGTCCCCCTTGCCTCAGTTGTCCACTCGTGCACCTGGGACACTGAGTGATGCACAGCACTGCTCCAGAGCTTTCTGAGACCAGTGATCCTATATTGCCCTTTTTACTTTCTTCTTCTTGAATAATGAATAACTTTGACAAGAAGCCAAGGCAAAAATCACATTCAGACGAGTTCAGAGAGTTTATTCCAGGTCAAAATAAAAGACTATGAAAAACAGGAAAAATAAGTGTTGCAATAAACATGTTTGGCTTAGGGTTTTGGTTTTGTTTTTTTTTCATTTTGCAGAATAGGATGAGTGATCAGAAGCTAATACCAGTGTAAGATTCATGGGACTAAATCCTAGTCCACTGAGCTATCACATATGCTGCCTCTAAAGAAGATTACTGTAATAAACCTTCTAGTAGATAAATACACCAAATGAAATTGTGAACACTAAATTATTCAGCAATGAATAGAAGATATTGATTCAGAAATGCCATAAATCCAGCTTGGAGGGATCCCAAAAACGTGATTCATCCGGAAACTTGAGACAGACAATAGACATGCATACAAATTTACCAATAGAACAAGGTATGAATGACTCGTAAGGAAACATCCCAGCAGATCACCCTACTTTGCTAAAGAATATCCAGTAAGTGTGTGATCTGGTTTGTAGTTGCAATTTTCAAACCCAGACTTTTGCTCTTTGGGTGTGTATTTATTGTTGCTCTTCTCCAATTAACTCAACTTACATGGAAGATACACTAGTGTACATGCTCAGGCCAGGCAGTTTTACCAGCTCTTATATGATGTAATGAAAGTCAGGCATAATTATTATTTACCCCATCAGAACATAAAGGACAAACTTCTTTTTCTACTGCTGTCTTCTACCCCTGAGGCTTCTCTATGGGACTCTTGGAAGACTTGGCCAAACAGCTGTAGAACCAGTTTCATGCCCTGCCTCCCTTGATAGGTAAGGAATTACTCCCTTGCCAAATAAATAGATTAATTAAATAGATCATGTTATTTAAGGAACTGTGAGCAGAAAAGTTGATGCGTGGACTTGCAATAGCAAGTCAGACAGGGATACAACATTTGCACAAGCACACCTGGTTCCACATCTACCCAAAAGTGCTCTGCAAAGGAGGTGGGTTTTGTTCCTCGTGATTTCTTGATTTCCCATGGGGCTTGGGGAGCAGCGCAGAGGGATTTTGCAGAGTTCATGGCCATTGTGGACACTCATATCACAAAATTCTAGATGTCCCCAAAAAACACTGAGCTCGAAAAGGGAGAGGCCCCGTGAGTCAGACGGGGTTTTTTTCAGCTCATAGTTTTGGATTTTTGTGCCTCAGATCCAGCTGTATTCTATTTGAGCCCTTTTTTGAACCGACTCCAGCCATCTTCTGAAGAGTCTGTCCTTACGTCAGTTAAGACCCAAAGTTCTGATGGAAGCTGCTGCAAAATCTAAAATCAAAAAAGGTGAATCTCACCATTGCTGTGAGGTGACTGCGGAGTCTTCTGCTCCCAAAGGGACAAATCCCCACAGCCCTGTGCTGATAATTACTACTGCTGCTTGTCAGACCTAGTAATCATGAAGCCACTCCATTCACCAGCACCATTTGTTAATCTGTGTTAGGGAACATGTACAGGAAAAAATGGTTAGTTGTTTGGTTTTTGTTTTTTCTTTGGTTTTGTTTTTTTTTTTAAAATGCATCGGCAAACTTACTGCACAGTCCCACGACCACTGGCTTTGGTTGCATGGGTGAAAATGGCAGGAACACACAGCCAAGGGCAGATCAGCAACATATTCATAAATCAGTTTACACCAAGCATGAAGCCATTTTCCAAGTATTCATTCGACAGATTATTTTAAATGTATCTCAGGTGTGTCTATACAAGTTCCAGTCACTGCAGCGCAGGTGTATCGGCTCACAAGGACATGAACGAGCATGAAATTTGCAACAGAAAGATGCAGGACGGGATTCAACACAATTGAGAAATGGGAAGTTTTGGGTAGGTGGCGGAGATCAGAGACTCTGGCAGCCATTCTGAGTGCCGTGAATCAGTATGGGAATGTGGTAACAAGCCGGGCACTCGGGGAGCCAGGGGAGAGACAGGGAAAAATGTTTCAGCTGCCGACAAGAACGATGATGGGCAGGCAACCAAAAGCGTGTGAACCATTGGATGTGTGCTTGGCACTGACTCTCCCGGGAGAAAGAGTGGACAAAACAGAAGGAAGGAAAGAAAACATCAGCAGGGAAACCGAAAGCAAGAGGGAGAAGTTGCTTGGGTCAGTTTTACTCTACAAATGCCTTCACTAGCAGGCGTGGTCCATGCTGGCTATAGGTAGTTGCACAATCCCATCTCAGTCACACTGCTTAAATGTTCCACATCCTGGAACTTTTAAGCTACATTTTTTATTGGATTATAACTGCAGGTCCTTGGGCATTTTCTAACAGCAACTAGGAAATTTGCTAAATCCTCTTCACAGGAGTATGAAAACAAACAGGCAGAAAAGCAAAAAAGCCCAATATTAACACAGGATATTCCCCACCCTATCATAAAAAGATACACTTCCCTTTTTCTAAAATGAGTGTCTAAAAAGCAGATGAACTCTTGCAAAACTCCTTGAAGAGCTGAGTAACTACGGAAACATTCTGTTGGCTTAGGAATAAGTAAGTTTCACTAATGAATTTTGTTTTGCATTGAAACTTAAGACAAAATTTCCTCTCTTCTGGATCTGTACTGTTTTTACAATACCTGTATGTCATGGCAACTAGGAGCAAGCTTGCCAGCTACCACCAAATCTAGTTCTGAGAAAAAGCCTTATCCCAAATGTTTTCTTAACCTGAAATGTACCAAATATCACTTATGTCATATTGCCACTTCTGTGAAAATTTTGGGAAACAACTTGATGCATCACACCCACAAAAGTGAGAGCAAAATTGCAAGTGACCACATCGTGCTTGGAAGGGGCTGAAGCAGATGGCATTTGGGGAAGTTTGTAAAAAGAAGACTGTGTAGTAGCACATGGGAAAAAAAAACAAACCAAACCAAACCAACAACAACAACAAAAAAAATGCACAGACGACAACGGAATTTGCAGGAGGGATTTTGAAAAGAGGAGTTCTGCTAGGGGGTGAATAACTAGCTCTAAGATCAAAAGAAGTGCTCGGGGATGTGCTAACGTAGTTGTTTCCTTTCGAGAGGATATGAAATAACAATAGTAGTTGAGCGTGAATCCGATTGTAAAAGGAAAATGACTTTGACTCAAAAAACGAGATCTTTGGGAGTTTTTGGCCGCGCTGCGGTGCGAGGGGGCACGGAGGGTGCGGTGGGGGGTGCGGGGGGCACCGGGCTGGCGGCGGGGCAGCAGCGGGCGGCGGGCTGCGGTCCCTGCAGGGGATGTGCGGGCACTGCCAGGGTCCCTCAGCATCGCTGAAGTTCACGGTTCGCGGCAGGGCCATGCCGGGGCTTGGGGAGGCACAGACGGCTCCGGGAGAAGGGAACGCGATGATCTCAGGAGTCTTTTCCAACCTAATTTAATTGATTCCGTGAAGCGTCTCTGTGGTGAGCGTGCGGGAGGGGGCGGAGGGGTGACAAAGGGGTGACAACAGAGTGAGAGGAGCGGGGGCAGCCCGAGCCCGTGGGACGCTGTCGTAGCAGCTCAGCCCCGCAGCGCCGGGGCGGGCACGGTGCTGCCCAGGTGGTGGGGCCGGGCACGGTGCTGCCCAGGTGGTGGGGCCGGGCCTCGTCCGCCGCTCCCCGCCCGGCTCGGGTTACCTGGGCGGGCCGTCCCGCAGCGCCGCTCTTCCCGTCTGGCCCGGCCCCTCGACGGGAAGTGGGAGCTGGGAGTCGCGCCGGGCGGTCGGAGCTATGGCTTTGCAGGGAACCCCTGTGCGGTACCGGCTCCTCCTCGCCGTGTGCTGGGCGGTGGCCGCGGGCTCGGCGGCAGGTAGGAGCGGGAAGGGGGGACAGGGAAGGCAGGGGAGGGGAGCGGGACCGGCTGCGCTCCGTGTCCGGCGGGGCCGCGGTGTCGCCGCCGGAGGAGCCGGGGCTGGAGCAGGGCTGCCGGGCTCTGCCGTGGGCGGGTCGAGCGGCTCGGTGCGCACATGGACACCTGTTTAAGTGAAATGCTTTCGTTCTGTAGTAGAAATCGCCCGGAGCGGGTCGGCCGTGTGCGAGGCAGCGCCGGCGCTGCGCCCTGCCCTGCTCTGCCGCTTACCGGGCGGAGGAGCGGGGATGATTTAAATCCGCGCTCCTCTCGCAGTACGGCAGCGTTTGACAGGGTCGGCAGAAATCTTTTAAGCTCTGCGTTCGGTTCCCGGGACTGTCTTTGCCTTAAAACCCGAGGCAGAAGCCCGCCGCCCTCCTCCCGCTGCCCGAGCGGGTCCGCCGGGTGCGGGAGCCCGGGGCACGCAGAGCCCCCCTCGCCCTGGTCCTCGGCCGCTGCCTTCGCCCTCAGTATCCCCGCTTCTGGAAGCGCGAACGTTCTGCTGAAGGAAAGTTGCGTGCGTGTCTAATAAAGCTCGAAGCTTTATTAGTTCTTTCTCTGCTCACGTTACCCAAAAACCCAGTTGCGAACTCTAGAGAATTATTTTTCAACTGGCTACAATTCATATACAATGAAATCAACCTTCAGAAAATGCTGGAGGACAGAATACAAATGTGATGTCTTTTTTATTACTTTAGGACATTTAGACGGTACTCGAGGCAAGGGATTTGTTGATGTTTCCACATTAGGGCTTTTAGAAAT